TTTTTATTTGTTTTAATTAGTTATACATGATAGTAGAATGCACTTATATACTTTGATGTATCATACATAGATGGGATATAATTTCTCATTTTTCTGAGTGTACATATTGTAGAATCACATTGGTCCTACAGTCACATACATACGTACAGTAATAATGTATTTTTCTTATCCTCACATCCCCTGTCTTCCCCTCCTTTCACTTCCCTCTACCTAATCTAAGGTAATGTTATTTATTTATTTATTTTTGCATTATAATTCTTAATACACATAAATATCATGCTTTTTGTATTTCTGTTTGTATATAAAATATGTTGACATCCAATTCAAATATTCATACATGTACTTTGTATAATGATGACCAACAAGTACTTTTAAAGGATATTTCCCCCCCCAGTGTTGGGGATCTAGCCCAAGGTCTAGGGTACGCTAGGCAAGCACTCTACTACTGAGCTACATTCTCAGCCCTAAAACAAATGCAATACTATCTCACTATCAAGGCCAATAAATGACTATAAACATGCTAAGGGGACTCAAAGAGGGGGAGAGAGTACATCTGGTTGTGCAGCAGGTGGGATTAGGGATAGTAAAGTATTTGTGAAAAATTTTAACAATTGAATCTATCTTACATGAAAGGTTGAGAATATTAATTTAAAAATAATTATTGGGGAGAATAATAAAATTAGTGGAGATGGCTGTTTTCTAAAAAAGTAAGAGCTCTTAAGACAAATCCTATCCTTGTATGAGCTATGGCACAAATCAACACAACCTCCTTTTTCCACTTGGAAATAGTTATGACCAACTACTAGTCCATTTCCATTGTTCTCCTTCTAACTCCTTTGTTTTAAAAATAATCAAAGAGGACATCCATAAAAAGTCCTGTATTTCTACAAATAAAATCTCTTCCAAAATAACATGAAATAATTTATAGTAATCATAATATATAAAACATAAAATAATAATAATATAAAATTACAATGCTGTAATTTTCTATGTAAACTTCATCCCTGTTTTCTTATTATGGGAAAAGTGGTAAATAAACATTTCCAACTAATGAGACTTGATTAAGAGGAAATGCAAACCTAATTTCATTCCAGGGAAACTTGTTTGGTTCTGTTGGCCTTCTCAATGTCTGTATCTTGACTTTCAGATGTAGCAAAAGGCCCCAGATTACTTTTTTTTTTTTCTGGGAGAAAAGATGTTTTGACAAACTTTAAAAACATACCAAAACATGATCCTTGAACAAAAAATTTGGTTTTATTTGACAGTTTTCATATAATATTAAATGTGAATATATCTGAAACTTAGAATTATGCATTTAGAAGGTACTACATAAATAGGCATATGATGTTGTTATATATGTTTATAAGTACATTGATTAGTAAGAGAAATAAAGCTAAACTTAGTGGAAAAGTTCTGGAAAGAAACAAAAAAGTGAGCATTTATACCTTATAGCTAATATAATCTACCTTATTGAGGGAAGATATAGTTTTTATAGCATAATAAATTTAGATAGCAAGTCAATGAAATTTTACATTTGAGGGCAGCTCATGTTACTCATTTGGCTGTTGATTTATTAACATTTTGAAATACTAATTACTCCCAAACCAATTTTTATTATATCCTGGCATTTAGAACTTCTATAATCTCAAAATCTTGTCCTTCTTTCACTTTTCAACTTGCTTATAATCCCTTTATAATAAGTATAATTGTAACATTTTCTGTGTCATGAAGCGATACTAGCCATGTTTCTTTTTTTTTTTACTTTTTGAATTTTTTAATTCTAATTTGTTATATAGGAAAGCAGAATGCATTATAATTCTTATTACACATATAGAGCACAATTTTTCACATCTCTGGTTGTACACAAAGTAGAGTCACACCATTCGTGTCTTCATACATGTACTTAGGGTAATGATGTCCATCTCATTCCACTATCTTTCCTACCCCCATTTCCCCTCTAGTGCCTTTGCCCTATGTAGTGCTGGTCTAATCCTCCAATGCTCCCCCTCCAACCCCATCATGAATCAAATCCTTTTATATCAGAGAAAACATTCAGCATTGGTTTTTTTGGGGGGTATTGGCTAACTTCGCTTAGCATTTTATTCTCCAACTCCATCCATTTACCTGTAAGTGCCATATTCAAAACGCTGAGTAATATTCCATTGTGTATATATACCACATTTTCTTTATCCATTCATCTACTGAAGGGCATCTAGGTTGATTCCACAGTTCAGCTATTGTGAATTGTGCTGCTATAAACATTGATGTAGCTGTGTCCCTGGAGTAGGCTGTTTTTAAGTCCTTTGGGTATAGACTGAGGAATGGGATAGCTGGGTCAAATGGTGGTTCCATTCCCAGTTTTCCAAGAATTCTTCAGATTGCTTTCTATATTGGCTGAATCAACTTGCAGTCCCACCCACAAAGGATGAGTGTGCCTTTCCCCCCACATCCTCGCCAACACTTTAATAAGTTTGTATTGTTTGTATTCTTAATAGCTGCCATTCTGACTGGAGTGAAATGAAATCTTAGAGTAGTTTTGATTTGCACTTCTCTAATTGCTAGAGATGTTGAACATTTTTTATTATATTTGTTGATTGATTGTATGTCATCTTCTGAGAAGCATCTATTCAGTTCCTTGGCCCATTTATTAATTGGGTTATTTGGTTTTTTGGTGTTAAAATTTTTGAATTCTTTATATATACTAGAGATTAGTGTTCTATCTGATGTGTGTATGGTAAAAATTTGCACCCAAATTGTAGGTTTTCCATTTACCTCACTGATTGTTTCTTTTGCTGAGAAGCAGCTTGTTAGTTTGAATCAAAGGGAAAATAATTAGGGAAATCACAGGCTGTGTTTAACATCAGTACGTCCAAGCTATAAGTTATACCAACCCTATTCTCAACAAATTGGAAAAGCAGCTAAATATGTAATGCCAGCACTCAACATTGTCAGGGACTACACACATATCATCTTATTTAACCTTCTATGGCTCTGTGAGATGAGAATCAGTACCCCCATTTTAGATAAGAGAAACCAAGAAATAGAGGTAAGCATTTGCTCAAAATATGGCTAATAGGTAGCAAAACCAGGGTGTCAGGTTTAACCTTAAGCTAGCTGGCCTCTAATGATCAGAGAGTGTATTGGTCATTAGCTGTGTGAGACTCTGCCCTTAGTACTAGGTGTCCAAAAGAAGATAAATTTTGTTTCTTCTATTTCACAGATCTCCTGGATATAGGTTGCCTGAAGAAAAGGGTCATGCAAAGATGGTGAATATTGGTTTATGTTAGAGAGCTAAATGGGAAATTGGGACAAAAGCTCAAGGGAATGGTGGGCCCAGTTCTCCTTTATCCAAACACTGACCCTCAGTGTCATGGAGCTTCTTCTCCACTAGACCATTATCCAGAGAGCTTGGTGTCCAACAGTATATAAAATATTTGCTCCAATTCAAGACTATTAGCTTTAAAGAATTTTTCAGAAGCAGATTCAGTTTCTATAAGGGTTGAGCTGGACTTCTCTGTGTATTACTCTTACAGGTTCTTACCCACACACAGAGTAAATATTTAAAGGTATGTAAATTTCACACAGGTGGGACATAATTCCAAGCCACATATTTGTTTAAATGATTGGATAACTTGGATTTAGTTTCTATTTCCCTCTTTATTTCCTTCTGAAAATGATATAGAAGAAAATTCCAGTTTATTAAAAAATAGAATTTGATACAGATTTCTTTACACACTACGTTAGGCTAAATGCATTCTGTGATTGTTGATCAATCCAGCCATTCTGACTGGAGTGAAATGAAATCTTAGAGTAGTTTTGATTTGCAATGTTAAATTATTAAGATGTATGAAAATGGACAAGGACTGTTTGAAATAGATCAATGACTGGGCACATTTGGCTGGAGGGCCTGTTGTAGGAGGAAAATCCAAGTCATATTACTTTATGATCTAACACATGTGATGCTAACAATTTTTCAAGGCAAGGTACTTAAAATATGTTCCAAGTGTTGGTACCCAAACAAATATTTTCTTCCATATGCTTTCAGGTGTCTTCATTTAATGTGCACATTTGTGCCCACCTTTAACTCATATTTACATTTTTAACTCATTTGTACAAAGTATATAGCATTGTGATTAAGAGAACAAGCTTTGAAATCCAACCTGCATTAAGAATCTTTATCTCCACCATTTCCTTGGGCAAGTGACTTCACCTTTCTAAAGCAGTTTTCCTCCTTTGAAAAGTGGAGATAATCCCTATCTCAAGGGTAATAGTAAAAATTATACTTGTTAATGGAAAAGGTTTCAGGCGTGTATGTGTCATATCCTAAGTCTCATTAAACAGCTGTTATTATTAATGTTGCAGAAATTACCATTTCCATTACAGGCTGCACGGAGATGGGAAGTGTTTGTTGAATAAAAACGCAGGTGAATAAAAACACAGACTTCTTCCTCTCCTTTATAACTGCTTACCTGTCCAAGGACTATGATCTCAGCTCACGCACTGCAGTTGTCAACCGCATCACCCATTAACCTGTCAAGTAAGACAATCTAAAAACTCCAGGCATACTTTCCAGTGAGGATCTGGACTGTTGAACTGGAAAGCTAAACCTAAAGGCGTGACAATTGCCCTTCGACCCGTCGTCCCCTGCTTATTTAAATGGTGCGTCCCTTCAGGTGTCACTTGATAAAATTTGTGCTGAGCGCTCCTTGTGGATTCGCTGGACGCCGCGGCAGGGCAGGAGGCTCCAGTTCTCACCTGCCCGAGTTCCCTGGTGCGTCGGCTGTCGTGGCCACCCGGTCGCGCACCTGGTGAGCGCTCAGCGCGGTGGGCAGATTCCCCAAGTCCCAGACTTCGGGGCGCAGCTCGCAGTGGAGAGTGCTGGGACCTTTACCAGCTGGTACCTCCGCTTACCTTCTCTTCTGCGCCAAGGCTCCGGACTGCGGGAGACACCTGGAGGACGCGTCTAACCGCCCTAGGGCACCACGCCTGCGGCGCCCAGGAAATAGAAGCGAGCGCCCCGGCTGCGGAGCTAAAACGCTGGGCTCGGGCTGCGCGTCGCGGGGCCACCAGTTTCCGCGCAGAGCCCTGGCCACCGCCAAGCCATGGGCGCGCAGCGGGACATCGGCACCTTCGTGGTGTGGGACTACGTGGTCTTCGCCGGCATGCTGCTCATCTCTGCCGCCATCGGCATCTACTACGCCTTCGCGGGGGGCGGCCAGCAGACCTCCAAGGACTTTCTGATGGGCGGCCGCAGAATGACCGCCGTGCCCGTGGCGCTATCCCTCTCCGCCAGTTTCATGTCCGCTGTCACGGTCCTGGGCACCCCCGCCGAGATCTACCGTTTTGGGATCATGTACGGCATCTTCGGCATCACCTATTTCTTTGTGGTGGTCATCAGCGCAGAGGTCTTCCTGCCCGTGTTCTACAAACTGGGGATCACCAGCACCTACGAGGTAAAGGGGAAGGTGGGGGACTTTTCAGGCTCCTGGAGGAATTTTCTTGGGGATGAATGGTCACCATCACATCAGAATCTTTCCTTGTCTCATCACCTGTCTGTCACCTTTCCCTTGAGGGAAAAGTGTCGTCATGACTATAAAACCTTGGGATTTATTCTCCTGAGCTCAATGAAAAAAGAGCCTTCCAAAGTAAACGGAATGATTGGACTTGTTGCTCCCTAGGGTCCTTCTTTACCTTCAGCGTCTTTGATTCCCAGTCAAGGGGAAAGATTTTAAAACTCTTTGGGGCCGGGTGTGGTGGGGGAGGTTGGGGAGATTAAGTTGCTAAAGTCCCAGCTCCTCCATGTTCAAATAAATCTCCTAGTTCCAAATCCTCATTCAGCCCCCATTCACTTTTCCAGGATGACTGGTAGAGAATTTACACCAAGTCAGAGAGGCAGGTAGTCAAATTGTTAAGGTCCTGTTAACTCTTGTCCAAGTACCTGCAAGGAGACCAAATTTTACCACTTACTAGCGGGGTGACCTGGGCCACTTCTTTAATTAACCTCTTATAACTCTTTCCTCATCTCAAAAAGAAAATAATACCACCCACTTCATCCAGTTGTTGGAAGGATTAAATAGGATGATGCAAAGTGTAACATTCAGAATAGTACCTAGAGGAGAGTAATTGCTGGGGAGATGTTGGCCATAATCGACGTGGTGCTGGTAGTGGTGGTGGTAGTTTTCATGGGATCACTAGAAAAAAATACAGCTGGAAGAGTTTTAAACAGCTTTGCCATCTCTCTCTATGGAAAAGTGATTAAGGAAAACCATTTCTTCTATTTCACAAACCCCCTGGGTATAGGTTTTCTTAAATTGTCTATAGGAAAGGGTTCTGCAAAAATATGAATGTTGGTTTATGTTAGAGAACTAAATGGAAGGTGGGATAAAATCTCAAGGGAATGGTGGGACCCAGTTCAGTACCTTCAGTGGTTTCCTTCACCCAAGCACTGACCCTCAGTGCCATGGACAAGGCTGAAGTTTCTTCTCTGCTAAGCCATTATCCAAAGAGCTTGGCATCTCTTCGTGGCCTCTACTGTCTTAGAATCTGTGAAGTGTTTGCTCCAACCTGGGATTTCTGGAAGGTGACTTCTCAGTGAGGCTGGTTCAACTGGTGTTGGGACTGGGCACAAGAAGTGTTGGTGACAAATTCTGCCTGAGCTCTAGGGATGCCATCCAGAGTGAAGCACCCCAGGAGAGCATAGCCTACTCTCTGTGGTCACTGTGTTTGGAAAAGCTGAAAGGGCTCAGTCATCATCCCAGAAGTGAGCAGGGTGGACTTTCTGTTTTGCTGGGAAGTGACAAACTCACAGCCTCAGGCCAAATTCAGTCCTCTGTTTGTGTATATATTGTTTTAAAAATTAAGTTAGCATTTAATGATGGAGAAGAATTCAAATAAAATTCCAGATTCTGAATTCTTTTGAAATTTCAGAAGACTGATGATGCTTGTTCGACCTTCCCTATGGCCACAAGAACTCCAGTACACAGCCGTTGCTCTAATTCTCCTAATTCTCTATACTGAGGCCTTTTTGTGTTCGCACAGTTATTTTCTTACCGTAGAGAAATTCTTATCTGCATTTATGTCTTTATCAAAAATCTAAAAAGAGAAAATGACAAAGGTATTGTTTTCAAATAGAGTCATGAAAGTGCATTATTTCTTCAAGATGTAAGGATATTCTGGAACGTTAAGCTTATGAAAAATTGGCCTATGTCACTCATGTGTTTTGCCTGATGGTACCTTTTCACATTCAAATCTGTGAGCTCTGACCTGTAGTTAACCAACTTGAAAACTTGGAAAGGGTTTGAATAATCTGGCAAGAGGATTTCTGTCTTGGCAGATGGATGCTGCTCTCATAATCACTGACCCATGCCTCTTTGGGGCTACAATGTTAACTCAACCAGAAACAGATTTCCCACACATTTCTAGTGATAGAAGCTAAGTGAGCAGGGATTCCAGCTTAAACAATGACAAAAACTAACTTTTATTGAATGTTTAATTCATGCCAGGCACTAGGCTACATGTTTTATATACATTATCTGACTCAACACTCCAAAAATCCTTACAAGGGAGGTACTCTCAGATCCCTGTTTTGCAGACAGAGATCCAGAGTAAGTTAAGCTAGTAAGAGAGTATGAAACAAAGTGGACACACATCTAGAAGCATACTTACTGGCTGCTTCTGCAGGCTCTAGTGGGTCTGTTATAACTCTGAGCAGGGTTTATACCAGTGCAGAGAGAACCAGGGAAGCAATATAAGACACATGAACTAGTGAGTACATTGTGAGTGTCCACACTACTAGGCAATCAGGGACAGGTAAGTTAGACAAAATGCTGTGCTCCTATCGATTGATCACATCATAGGTTTCCTGTGGAATACTTTTTAGTTTAATGCTGAGAGGTGGAGTTACTTATACAGAATGTGCAGTGTAACATTGAGTGATGGTTACCTTGGCATTCTTGCTCAGATATGAAATCATTCCCTACTTATATTTCTATAGATAAAATTGGTTGTTACTAAGCATTTCTAATCTCTATTTTATCACTGACTTCAAAATATATACCTGATAGGTGTTTAGCAACTTCCAGAACCATAGACAAGCAAGAAGTACATTTGAGGACTCTAATTCAATCGATCACTACTTTAGTATCTTTTGGGATCTAGCTAAATCTGAGTGTCCTAAATTCTATTTTGTTTTTTTTTTTTTATCATTTATTTCTACTAAAAGAGGTTGGCCAGGCATGGTAGCACACGCCTGTAATCTCAGCAGCTCAGGAGACTGAGGCAGAAGGATCACAAGTTCAAAGCCAGCCTTAGCAATGGTGAGGTGCTAAGCAACTCAGTGAGACCCTGTCTCTAAATAAAATACAAAATAGGGCTGAGGATGTGGTTGAGTGCCCCTGAGTTCAATGTTCAGTACCAAAAAAAAAAAAAAGAAGAAGAAGAAGGAAAGAAAGAAAAGAAAAAGAAGAAGTCATAGTGTCCAAAGTTAGTCTGGAAACCCTAGAGCAATTCTCTAAGCCTACTGCATAGTGACTTGGGCTCCTGGTTGGGTCTCCAGGTATTTCCTCTGCAGTCTAGTAACCTACTGGTGGCTGACCAAGACTATTGATGGACTTCTTGGTTCTGTCTTGAGTTGGTCACTGAATCACATCTCTTGCATCTTTTATTTTTTATTTTGAGACAGGGTCTCACTAAGTTGCTGAGGCTGGCTTTGAACTTGGGATCCTCCTGCCTTAGCCTCTTGAACTGCTGGGATTACAGGTGTGCACCACTGTGCTCAGCTTGAGTTGGTCTTATATGGGCATATTGATTTTCCGGGATCAGCTGATTTTAGGGGAAAACTATATCTATTTATATATATATAATATATATATATATATATATATATGTGTGTGTGTGTGTGTCTGTGTGTGTGTGTGCATGTGCGCGTGCGCGCGCACACACACACACAGACACATAAGAGATTTACTAAAAGAATTCTGAAGAAACAATGCTGCCCTGTTTCTAGTCTCTAAATGTCTTCTAAAAAGTCCTTGAATGAATTTGATACATGTAATTGACAAAGTTCATGGATTTAGATTCCACTAGCTTCTTAACATACTATTTTCGAATGCGTAGTTATTTCACCATCCATTTATATCATTGGATAGTCTCCAAAACCCCACAAACTAATAAAGGAAAGAATAGTTACTATAATCCTCATTTTCAAGAGAAAGAACCAGAAATTTGGAAAGTGCTTGCCTCAAGCTCATGAGTTAGGAGTGGGACTGGATCAGTAGCTGGAACTCTGTTCCCAAAGTCCTTGCACATGAGCTGTGTATTTGTTACCTTTTATAAGGTCCTATTATTTGTCAGTGTCACCTATTTACCTAGAAGTCTTAAACACCCGGTCAGATTGCTTACTTAGTGTGGTTATCCCAACACTGAGGACTATAAGTTTGTGCATTGGGCCTGTCAATAATTAGGTCGCAGTCTTGGTGTCCTTTCTGAGCTCCAGCGTCCTCCTCTCTAACATGGGCTTATACAGAGTTCCTGCCTCACAGAGTTATTGGAAGGAAAATGTACACAGCAAGTCTCTATAATGTTAGCTGTGATTATGGAGTAAAAATCTCAGATGTCTTTCCTCTGATTATTATCTAATGCTAGTTTTCCTTCCTCTTTTTACCCCTGAATATGATAAGACTGTTGTCAGCCTTAAACTTGTCTCTGTGTGGAGTCATGTTATTTAGGTTAAATATATTGGACTTCAGCTCTGCTTTATAACTCTGTAATATACTACATAGTATAGGAAATAAGCAGATTATATTATAAGATATAGTAGATTTCAAGGAGGGTAGGAGAAATTGGCAGGGTTGTTTGTTGGCTCTGAACAGAATCTGACAGGTGCTATAAGTAAAAAAAAAAAAGATGTGTGTGTGTGTGTGTGTGTGTGTGCGCGATGCGCACACGTGTGCACAAAGACATGAGGGTAGTTCATTAAACAGAATAAAAAACAAGAGTAAGTAGGTCTTGGTAAGGACAGAAACATAAGGTTCCTTTTGCCACTGGCCCCACCCCACCCTTAGGATCAGTCTGCTCCAATCACTTTCAGTCTTTGTATCTTACCTTCTTCCATTGAGAGGAGAATCTCAGAAGCTGTAGTGGCATCATGTGACTTCTTGCTCAAAAGAGGCTGGGGACCTTAACTGACAGATCCATCACTTTTATCTACTATAGGAAAGGGTTGATTCCCCAAGTGAATCAAAGGAAATGTACAGAGTGGATGCTAAGAGAAAGGAGAGAACAAGATTCCTTACTCTTAAAACAAAACAAAACAACAGAATATATTTCATTTAGTGACCGTTTTTATAATCTTTCCAGGCTAAACTAGGGATGGAGAACAGATCAATGATTAACAGAATTTAGAGATTTGGGAAGGTCTTGACCATAAAGGGGCAGCATGAGGGAGTTTTCTGGGGGTGATAGAGCTATTTTTATTCCAATTATGATGGAGATCACATAAATATGTATGTGTTAAAAACCATTGAATTATACTCTAAACCAAGAGTTAATTTTGCTTCATGAAAAGAATATTAAATAAAATAAAAACACAGGATACAAATCAGTCATCATAAATTTGCTTCAGATTTCTAACTCTTTACCTCTTAAGCTGCTGATTAAAAAAAAAACGCGTTCAGAAGATTCACATAATAACTATTTTTCTTTTTCTGGCAATAGTATTTAGAACTTCGATTTAACAGATGTGTTCGACTTTGTGGAACAGTCCTCTTCATTGTTCAAACAGTAAGTAGCTCTCCATTAATTTATTTTCTCTCTTGTCATATAAAATATTCTTATCCATGGCATTTGAGTGAGCCTTACTCAGGAAACATGAGAATAAAGAGAGGTTGAAAATATGAGAAAATGAAAAAGAAAAAAACTTTACTAGTATGAAATATTAAACCTAAAAATTATGAAACGGTGTTGCAGCACATGCTTTACTTTGTGAAAATGGGAGTGACTTAAGTGAATTTAAATATTGTGTTGATCAAGCAACAGCTATGTTGCTTTAGGAAAATGAGCTTCCCCTTTCCTGCTCAACCAAGCCGACAGTAAGGGCATTACTAGATGGCAAAGATATTTGAGGGAGCTGTGGTCCGTGACAATAGGAATTCTAACAAAGGGAAAACAAGTTTTATGTCTCACAGTATTTTTTTCAACATGTTGTGCAATAAATATGAAAAAAAACTGATAGTAAGACATTAGGAAACAATTTTATTTGTTTGAAAGCATACTTTAGAAAAGGATCAGTGCTCTTTAAAATATTGTACTCTAAGACCCAACTGAAGCAGTCCCTCAGAGTGCAAAGCAGTAGAATCACAAGCTCTGGAGGAGTTTTTAAAGACAGATACACAATCCAGTAATTCAAGACTATGCAAGTATAGATTTACTGGTTGACACAAATGGAAAGCAAGGATTTGCCATGCAGTCAGTGATATGTTTTTACTTCCTACTCTACATCCGGTTGCTGGAGGATTTTCATAGTCATTGTCTCATCATTTACATCCATCTTCCTCTTGGCAGTTAAGCACTTTAAAGCCTGAGTTCGCCCATCCAGGTTGAGGAAGGAGTTTTCATTCTTATTCCTAATAACAATACTCTTTCTCCAATCAAACGTTTCTGAAGCATTTGCTCCAGCAGTTCAGAGTGCCTTTCTAAGTTATTTAACTCCATTCCATTTTATATCTTTGCAAATTATGTCACTTAAAATTTATCCATTCTTAATACTTGCAGAGTAAAAGAGTGCTTTTTAGGATCTAGCAGGGATTCTGATACAGAGCTGAAGACTGGTAGCTTGCATTTGTCAACTGCTGAAATCTTCTATATATTTATGTTAAAAATGTCAACAGAAATAAGAAGTGGCAACCATTATTAGGAAGGCAGCCTGTCTCATTCATATCTTCAGCTTGGACAGAATAATGACTTTGGAAAGCTGGCTCAGTCTTGCAAAAAGAAGAGATATTTATCACTTCCCACTTATAGGACTTATTTCCATATACTACATGCAGTATGATCAAACATTCAGATGGTACATAATATGTTTTTACTATAATGTGTTTTTATGGAATACTCTTGGTATTAACCTGTGTGTGATATATTTAAAAGATCAATGCAGTGAAACTGATATTTTGAGAAAGACTGAATTCACCCAACAAGTGTACACAGGTCAATAAATATAAGTTGAATGCAAATAAATGAAAAATAATATAAAAAAGATGGATTGTGGCTTTTGTTGGCTTTCAGAGTTTTTAGTGCAAATTTACACTTGGTCTAATTAATGAACACACAAACTTAAACCTTTAAACTGGATACTTTTTAAAAATGTTACTTTTTAAAACATTAATTAGATGGTGATTAGCAATAGTTTGGAGATTAAGAGCTCTTCTAAAGTTATAGTTTTTTTTCGTTATTGTTTTAAACCTAGGGAAATTTATTTTAAGTTTGAGTTGGTGGGTCAGTGAACATTTGCACAAATCACCACATTAAAAATTGTATTTTTGTAAAAATCTGCTCATAAATGATTTTTGTGTGACTATACCACCAAAGAACAAACTTACTTAACATTTTTCAAGTTATTTGAATTTTATTAGATATATTGAAACTGCTGTTTTAATTCATAATTGACTTTACAGGAATAATCAATATTTTATTTTGTAGTTAATATATAATTCATTTGAGTTTCTTTTTTTTCCCCTCTTAGATCCTTTATACTGGAATTGTTATTTATGCTCCTGCCCTGGCTTTGAATCAAGGTACATTTTAGATCACCCAATCACATAACTCCCAGTTTAGGATTAATTTTCAGTAAGCCCTAATTTCTCTTTGGGAAGATGGAGAGATGGAGAAATATTTCCAGTTTCCCATATTAGCTTTATGAGAGGAGTAGGGTGGTTTAGTGCCTATATTAGCTTATTTGGGTTTATGGATGAATATCTCCAGAATGTCTATAATTAGTAACAGGGCAGCCTGGCACTGGGTGGTGTCACTCCAGGATGTGTCCAGCAGCCATTTCTTCAGAACAAACGCCTCCTATAGGTTACATCATGAATGACTGAACTCTCTCTTTTGTGTCTATTACCTGGCGTCCATTTCCAAGAGTGTACTGCTCAGGTGCATGGTAAAATCTGTCAGGGAGAGCAGCTTTTCTACTCATAATGTGGTCCATATTGGAAAAGAAAGCTCTGTGGTTTGAAATATCGGGTTCCTAGTGACAAGAAGACAGATGGTTACAGTATTATCATAAAATACCTATGAAGATCATATTGATCAACAGATTCCCTAGACTCTAGATTTGAGTTGACAAAAACAGAGAGATTGGGAGAGTTTATTAAAGCAAAGGTTCATATTTTCAAAAGGCTTTGGGGGAAACCCCATGTCCTTTGAATTCTTATCAGTTGGAAGTGAGTTTATCTCTAAAACTTCCTTGTGAAATGGACAAGTGGACCCTGTGATGGTTAAGAATGTGGTGCAATTCCTGGAGTTAATATAATATAGAGGAAACCTACTAACTCCCTATTTGTGTTTTCTTTATTTTATGATGAATCTGATAGTTATTATCACCTACACTTACAAAGTGCAACAGTATCAATATAAAAGAAAAGTTCCATTATAGAACCTGCTCTTGAACTCTGAATGCCAGGCATGTTCAGTGTCAATATTACCCACATCAGGAATGGATTATTTCCAATGTCAAGAACTGAGCTATAAACTTCATAAGTTACCTATTTATTTTAAGTGTAATTAAAGATGTTAGAGTTTTAAAGACATAGTCACAGTATTTGGTGTGCAACAGAAGCTAAGTAAAAAATCATTTAACTGAATTGAAATTCAATATTCTTTAGGTGAAACCTTTTTTAATGTTCTTTTGGTGTTATGGAAAGCTTCAAACATGAAAGCTTAAAAAAAATAGGGAGAATAGTGCATTGAATCCTAATGTACCCACCACCCTACATTAATAATTATCAGCTCATGGTCAATTTTAATTCACTCTCTATTTCCCTCATTAGATTATTTTGCTGTAAATGGAAATCTTATTTCATTTATACTTCAGTATGTCTTTTAAAAACAAGGGCTTGTTTTTAAAAGAGAATTGTACCATCAACATATCTAAAACATTAAAATTAATTTCTTAATTTCATATTAAGTCAGTGTTTAGATTTCCCTGATTTTTTTCAGTGTTTATTAGAATCAGGATCCAAATAAGGCTTGTATAATTGCAATTAATTGATATATCTGTTGAATTTATCTTTTTTCTAAAATTGAAAACCAGCTTAATAAAGCATTCTCATGTCCAGAGCTGATCATAGAGTTTATATGTAATAAAATGTATAGGGCATAAGTATGCAGTTGGGTGAATTTTAACAGTTGTGCACCGTCCCATAACTACCATCCAGCTCAAGATCTAGAATATTTTCATCATTGAATCCCAGAAATTTTGCTCTTGCCTCTTTCTAATAAACCCCACTAAGCAACTACTCTCTGATTTTTATGACCATAAATTAGTTTTCCCTGGCATTAGATTTTATCTAAGTAGAAATATATAGAACCCTTTTGTATCTGTTTTCTTCAGTTAGCACAATGTTTTGAAATTAATTCATGTTGCTTCATGTATTGATAGTTCATTCCTTTTCATTGCTAGTGGTATTTCATTTACCAAAATCTGTTTATTTACTCCCCAACTGATGGACATCTGATTGTTTCCAGTTTTAAGGATGCCAAGAACATTCTGGCACCGTGTGTGGGGCATGTGCTTGTGTGAGTGAGTGTGTGTGTGTGTGTGTGTGTGTGTGTGTGTATTTTGTTTTTAGACATCTATTTTCATTCTTATTGGAAAAGAAATTCGTGAAAGTGGTGTAAAGTTAAACATACATCTATTCTGACCCAACTCAGGTTAGGTATATGTATGAAATTTAGGAGAAATTGACTAATAGCTTTCCAAATGTTTGTACCATTTTACATCCCATTCCACACTATGTGAGAATTTCAGTCATTCAACCTACTTGCAAACATTTGGAATTAATTTTTTTTCATTTTAGCCATTCTAGTAGGTATTATATGTTATTGTATTGTAGTTTTAGTTTGTATTTTTTTTTCTGATGACTACTGTTGTTGAGCTTATTGGCTCATAAATTTAAAATGACAAATAATCTAGTAAAAGATGGACAGAAAACTTGAACTGACACTTGACAGAAGCAGACATTCTTTCAATAGGTTATACGGTGATCCAACAATTTACTTAGGTCTTTTAAAATTTCTTGCAGTAATGGTTTGTAGTTTTTGATATTTAGGTCCTGGGCATAGATTTCAGATTTATTCCTAGGTAACTGATTCTTATACTATTACAAATAGTATGCTTCATAATATAATTTTCAACTATTTATTGCAATTATATAAAAAGGCAGTTGATTTTTATGGTCTATCATAAGAACTTGCTAAATTTACTTTTAAATTCAAGTTCATTTATGGAGATCCCTTAGGATTTCTTTTGCTGCTGTTTCTTTCTTTCTTTTTCTTTTTCTTTCTTTCTTTTTTCTTTGATACCAGGAAATGAAACTCAGGGGTGCTTAACCACTGAGCCACATCCTCAGCCCTTTTTACAATTTTCTGATTTTTGAGACAGGGTCTTACTAAGTGGCTTAGGGCCTTGCTAAATTGCTGAGGCTGGCTCTAAACTTCAAATACTTTTCTCCAGCCTTCCAAGCTGCTGGGATCTCTTAGGATTTTTATGTTTTTCATGTACAGAGACACTTTTACTTATTTTCTAATCTTTCTGCCTCGTAGTTCTCTTCCTTTTCTTATTGCACTGTTAATGTTGGAAGTTACATTGATTAACTTTTGATTGTTAAATCAGTTTTGCCTCCTTGGGATAAACCACACTTGATCATAAGGTATTGTCCTTTTTACATATTACTGAATTCAATTTGCTAATATTTTGTTAAGGATTTTTAGAGTTCATGAGAACTCTGAAGTTTCCTTTTCCCATAATGTCTTTGTCAGATTTTTGTTTGTTTGCTTAGTTGTAGTTGGACACAATATTTTATTTTATTTATCTTTATGTGGTGCTGAGGATCTAACCCAGGGCCTTGCACTTACTAGGCAAGCAGACTACCGCTGAGCCACAACCCCGGCCCTCTTTGTCAGATTTTTGTATCAGCTATATTAGCTTCATAAATGAGTTGGGAAGTGTTCCCTCTTACATATTTTTGGGGGGATGGTACCAGGTATTGAACTCAGAGGAACTCAACCACTGAGCCACATCCCCAACCCTATTTTGTATTTTTATTTAGAGGTGGGGTCTCGCTGAGTTGCTTAGTGCCTCATTTTTGCTGAGGCTGGCTTTGAACTTGAGATTCTCCTGCCTCAGCCTCCCAAGTCACTGGGATTACAGGCATACCCCACCATGACTGGCTCCCTTCTATATTTTTTGAATGAATTTTTATAAAGTTATGTATTTCTTTCTAAAATGCTTTATAGAGTTTACAGTGAAGGCATCTGGACCTGATGTTTGTTTGTTTCTGTGGAAAGATTTTGGTTTATGGATTCAATTTCTTTATTAAATATAGCTTTTAATGCTTCCTAATTCTTAGGAATAAAGTTTGATGAATTGTGTTTTTTTAGAAAATTCATTCATCTTTCTAATTTACCAACTTAGTTGTCACTAAATTGTCTGGAATATCCTCTTGTTATCCTTGCTTATATATTTAGTAATGGCCATTCTAATTATTCCTGTGACTGTTAAGATACATTTTTAATCATTTTTCTGGATATATCTTTTTTTTTTGCTTATTTCAAGTTTAACTTTTCTAGCTTCTTAAGGTAGAAATTTATGTCACTGGTTTTAAAATTTTCCTATTTTATAATGTGAACAATTTAAAGTTTGCATTCTTTTTAAGCAGTGCTTTGTCTGCATCCTACAGACTTTTAAAGTTTACATTCTTATTGTATCATTCAGTTAAAAGTATTTTCTGATTCCTCTTACAATTTATCAATGAATTATTAAGAAATGTGTTGCTTGATTTTCAAATACTTGGAAATTTTATAATGTATTATTTTGTTATGGATTTCTAAATTAATGCTGTTTTAGTGAGAGAACTATTATGATTTTATTCCTTCAGAATGTATTGAAATTTGCTTTATGGCCCCAAATATGGTTTCTCTTTCTGTCATTCCACGTGCTCCTGAAAAGAAAATGTGTATTGTGTGATTGTTGGTTAATAATGTTTTTCAAATATTCTGTATCTTAGCAGATTTTTGGAAACTTGTTCTGTCAATTACTTCAAATTTAGAAATATAGCTACTGATGTTTCTATTTCTCCCATTCTGTCAGTTTTTACTGAATAGAGTATGAAGCTCTTTTTCAAGTCTCTCTAATTAATAACCTACTTCATCTTTTTTATCCCCTTGATATTTATCTTTTGCAGAAACTATGTTATTTGTTCTATCAAGTTTTCCAGGATTTTTATTTTACTGATTGCTCACATATCAGGTTTAATGTTTCTCAAGTCCTTGGATTTTCTTGTAAATAGTAGTAGTTAGATTTCAGGCTGCATTTTAGACTGCAGTGCAACCTTTTGAAAATATTTCCTAGGTGATGTATATAAACTATAGTTTTATTAGTTAATTAGGGCTTATAAAATGGGACATTCTAATTCTGTTATTTCTTCTTTATTAATTAAAAGAAACACTTATCTAAAGAGAAACTTTATCTTGTTTTTTTATTGGGTTATTCTGAAAAATACTTTGTTCAGGAAAGGCAGAAAAATGTCTTATTACTTGCTTATCAATTTTTTTTTTTAGATAGAGCGAGAGAGGGGAGAGAGAGAGAGAGAAAATTTTTTTTTTAATATTTATTTTTTTTTAGTTCTCGGCAGACACAACATCTTTGTTGGTATGTGGTGCTGAGGATCGAACCCGGGCCGCACGCATGCCAGGCGAGCGCGCTACCGCTTGAGCCACATCCCCAGCCCCTTGCTTATCAATTTTAAAATTAATAAGTTGCAGGGCTGAGGCTCAATGGTAGAACACATACTTAGCATGTACAAGGTCCTGGGTTCAATCCCAACATCCTCAAATAAATAAAATACAATAAATTGGTTTCCTGCTGTCCTCCTAAGGGCTTAGATTTAAAAAATATTATCATTATGAATTTATGACTTAAAGATTGGATGTTATTTCATACCATTATGGATTGGTATTATTATTGATGCTGATACTGTCCCAATTTTTTTAGCAGAGGCCTCTTCAGGTTGTCTCTTGATTTCTCAACCTTGATTGTGCATTTGGCACACTCTTGGGGAGCTTTTAAAAATATTTATGCCTGGGTTTCTAACCCCAGAATTCTGAGTTAATTGGCCTATTGAGAGACCCAGTCATTGGGATTTACAAATTTCCTCTGGTGATTTTATTGTGCAAAGTTGAGAACTATTGAGGATGAATAAAAATTCCAATATTGTAACTAATAATATGATGGAAAAAATGGTTAAAATTTTGTTCTTTGTAGTTTGTGTCCCAGAAGGGATTTATAAAAATTACTGTTTTAAAGTCTTGTGTGTTTATGTCACAAACTTGATATATAACTAGGTTCGATTTATTTCATTTTGTTCTCACTTTGAAGTAGTTTATTTTTTAATTTCATTTTTTAATAATTATATAGAATATGTATGCGGTTCTAAAGTTATATCTACACACCAAAATATGTTCAGAGAAGTTAAATTTGTTTATATACCTGTCTCCTCTACTCAGTTTCCTTCCTCTCTCATTGGTAGCTAATTTTTCTGTTTGTTTTAGATTTTTATCCTTCCATTTCAAAAATGTAACAAAGGCTTCACTTCTCAGATAAATAGGATCAAACTATATAGACTTTTCTCCATCTAAGTCCCATTTTAATAAGCATGTATCTTTCAAGGATTGGCAAAATCATATGTCTATCTGAACCACGTCTACTGGGGAAACATAGTAAATATCTTGACCCCTTTCAGTCTGAACAGATACTTCACAGTATCAGTTTCATAGATTAGATACAACATACATGCTTTTCTACATATTAAACTTAGCAAATGTTGGATCTGGGTATGGTGTCTGAGAGTAGAATTTACAACCATGTCCATTAACTCATCAAATATAATTTGTGTGACATGAGATTTTTTTTTCTAGTTTTAGGCAAGTGGGTATAGAGGTAGGTTCTCAGTCAGTGAGATCATGTTCCTCCATGATAATTTTTGAGAAGTGTTGTTATGCATATTTCAGTTATGTATGCATGCTCTTTTCTTCTACAGTCACAGGATTTGATCTGTGGGGCGCGGTAGTGGCAACTGGGGTGGTCTGCACATTCTACTGCACGCTGGTATGTCAAATATGTTATTTCCCCTTTTAATCTACTTACTTGATTTGCAAAATTGAAATTTCTAGTAGTTGTGTACTGCAATATGGTTGTTCATACTTACTCTTTTGTTTCTGAGTACCCCAGTATAACTTTGGTAAGAAATATTGGCTTGGGGTAAAATTTGATTCTTTGTAGAACATGGATTAAACTGAAATTTTTTTCTTTCATATGTCCTGTGGCATTGGTTCCTATTATCTCCTGATTCTTCCTTACTGCTATTAAATTATAGCTTTTCTCAGCTCAGAAAACTATGATAACTTACCATTGTCCATAGGGAAGAGTGACAAAATATGTAAAAAAACCTTTATGGTAGGACACTGGTATTAGCACAGGTGCTGATCCTTAGCCCTGGTGCAAATCTTATGGGATCTTGGTATTCTAGGTATCAACCCTTTAGTTATTGGATATTGTAGAAGATGTGGTCCTCAGGCAGGGGCTTATGAAGCTCAGGTCACAGGAGCTAGAAAGGCTTGTGAAAAAAGGATTTTAGTATTTCAACAACCAATATGGGTGCATACTGATTGGAAATCAGCCCTGCTTATAGGATAAATTCCACAATGTTGACTTATGTAATTCAACTCTGAATTTGCTTCCTAACAATCTGCCCATGCCACTTCACTTCACTCTAAAATACATATCTCCCCACATTCACAGGCCATGTAGTATGACCAGTCTATGCTTTTGCCCAAGCTATTTTCTGTAACGGGAGAACTATCTTTGCATGTGCTTATGCCTTAAAGCTCCTTAATTTTAAAGATTCTCCCAACCTGATCATCTCTCTTGAGTGCATTTCTTGTTCATGATCCATGTTTGCTTCACTTTTGTAGAGCACAATGTATAAGTATGTAGACACTTAATGATATTTTACAGAAGCATTAATCCCAATACACTTTTCCCTTGAAGGGTGGTCTTAAAGCAGTTATCTGGACAGATGTTTTTCAAGTTGGAATCATGATAGCTGGATTTGCATCTGTGATTATACAGTCTGCAGTGATTCAAGGTGGCATCAATGGGATTTTAAGTGATGCCTATAATGGTGGAAGATTAAACTTCTGGAAGTAAGTTGCTATTTACCTCTTGGTTAACAGTTAACAGAATATACCTTTTGTTTTCCCTTTATTGAAATATAGTAGGTTTATATTAGAAAGCAAGCTAACAAACAACTAATGATGTGATGCAGCAAGTTGAAATTGGTGAGTAAATGTGTGAGAATCCCACCAGCTTTATAGGTGGTGGGATTCTCACACATTTACTCACCAGTTTCATATGGTTCTTAGTTGCCTGGTGTTAGGATAATACTTCCTTCTGAAAAGAAAAAAGAAATTATTTTCTTGCAGACAACCAAAGTCTGGAACAGGTTGAAAAGTGAAATAAGGTGATAAGGGAAAAGATATTGGAAAAATAAGAAAAGAATGTCATTTGGGAGACAAATACTAAAAGGCAGCGATTCCTTTTTGATCATTCTTCATTTCAAACATTGCCAAGGATTTCTCTTTTGAATTATCTTGACAATATGTAGTATGTTAATATGACATATTATTACTATACATTATTATTTTAGGTATGTATACGCCCCTGTATGTTATTTCCGAAAATTGATTAGAAAAGTTATGGCTGATGCCTCAAGTGACAGTGTAGCACAGGATATAATATGTCTTAAACAGCTGTGTTGTTTAAAAAAAAAGTGGAAGCCAGGTGCAGTGGCACATGCCTATAATCCTAGTTACCTGGCCGACTGAGGCAAGAGGGTTGCAAGTTAAGGATATCTTGGACAACTTTGTGAGACTTTGTCTCAAAAATATTTTTAAAGGGCTGGTTATAGCTCAGTGGCAGAACAGTTGCATAGCATGTGCAAGGCCCTAGGTTTGATCCCCAGAAGCATATATACATACATGAATAAGAATCATGGAAAATTAAGATATTTCAACCCCAAATCAAAACATGGCCATTTTGACTAATAGATAGCCATTTAGACTACAATGGAGAAATGAGAGTTTCCCCAAAGTAAACCTGGGTTGTGCTCACCAGAAGAGGGGCGAATGGAGGCCAGGAGCTGGAAACAATGGCAACTTAGGAGATTTGATTATTCCTGAACCTCTTCCTAGAAGGCCAGGCTGAAACCAATCATTTTCTGCAAGATAAATGTCACTTTATGCAAATAATACACATCTCTGCCATTGAAGTGATAGTTTATACATCAATACGAGATTTTTAAAAAAATTTTTTTTTAGTGTTGATAGACTTTTATTTATTTATATAGGTGCTGAGAATCAAACCCAGTGCCTCACTCATACCAGGCAAGGGCACTACCACTAAGCCACACAGCACCAGCCCTCAATATGAGATTTTAAAAAAAAAATTAGATGTTTTGGTGACCTTAACTTGGAAGATTGCCAACCATTAAGTAATAATGAAAAGCCCTATTGTAATTCAGAATTCTCAAGTGTTTTCCTTCTTATTCTGAATTGTTTTGAGAATATGGTGGACAAAATGTCGTTCTGAGATGAATGAAGAAAAGGATGAAAATCACAGAATTGGGTGTTGGAAATCTTGAGGGAACTCAGATAGCTCATTGACTCCTTTTGAGTATTGACTTCCATTAGCTAATAATAGGTGTTAAAGTAGTTATGGTTCTTAGTTGCCTAATAATAAGTGGTCTGTGGGAGAAATAATTAGCTGGTCTGTGGGAGAAAGGGCCAATGTTCTTAGAGTTTGATATTAAATGTTAGACAACAGAATAGAGGCTCTCACATTTCCAAAGAAATGCTCAAATATGTATAAAGTCACAATGCTTTACTCAACTGATTTCAAATGTGAGATTTGAAATAGATTTGCAGAATTTTATAATTTTCATGAAGTACACATAAAAGCTAATTGTGAAGAAAGTTTTAAAAATTATATGTCACAAATGAACAGAATCCCTCCATGATAATATATTAAAAAGGTTTAAGAGATATTTCAAACAAAGAAGTTAAGCTTTCTTTTTTTTTTAAAAAAAATATTTTATTAGTTGGTGATGGATCTTTATTTATTTATATGTGATGCTGAGTATAGAACTCAGTGCCCCACATATGCTAGGCAAGTATTCTACCACTGAGCCAAAACCCCAGCCCCAGGTTAAGCTTTCTGGTTTTTTATTTTTTTATTTTTTTTTGAGAGAGAGAGAGAGAGAGAGAGAGAGAGAGAGAGAGAGAGAGAGAGAGAGAATTTTAATATTTATTTTTTAGTTTTCGACGGACACAACATCTTTGTTTGTATGTGGTGCTGAGGATCGAACCCGGGCCGCACGCATGCCAGGCAAGCGCGCTACCGCTTGAGCCACATCCCCAGCCCCATGGTTAAACTTTCTTTATAACAACATTTTGGACTTATGTACATGTTATTAAGTAGTTCTAAACTATTAATATTTAGCTTGTGCACACAATAGTTTAAGAAAATATGATTATAATGACATATGTTACTTTTAGCAAGGGAAAATCTTTAAACTGTATTTCTTGAGCATGAATATTAACTAAAACTATGACTGTACATGTACTAAAAGAGGAATTATATACACAAAATCTGTTAGTTTTGTGTTCACTTCAGTACTATATTTATTGCTGTGGTGCACTTAGGAATACTTCTCTCTGTGTCTCTGTCTCTCTCCTGTGATTGCAGTTTGGCAGACTTCATTTACAACAGTTTACTAAGACCACGGGAGAAAAACTTATCTAAATGCTTAGAATGATCAGAACATTCATTTCTCTATAATCCTATCTTGAATTTCCAAATCTCTTAAAACAATAATTTTTATTTCATAGAATTTAAGTTAGAAATATTTCTATCTTTTATATTACTTAATAAATTTGTACAACCTTGTGTATGTCTAGAGATATATGTATCCAAAAATAATCTAGAAAGATTTTCTTTAGTCCTTTGTCAATAGTTCAAATTTGTTTTCTGCTTCTTTTCATTTAGCTTTAATCCTAACCCTCTGCAAAGACACACGTTCTGGACAATTATTATAGGAGGGACTTTCACATGGACCAGCATCTACGGTACCAACCAGTCACAAGTACAAAGATACATTTCCTGTAAAAGCAGATTCCAGGCAAAGCTGTAAGCCAAACTGTGGTGTATGAATCATTAATAACTATTAATTGTGGGAACTCATTTCATAAGTCAAATTTAGCTCAAGTTTAAATCTTAAGTGTCATGAAATTCCAGGAGATAAATTATATACTTGATTACAAAAGGACCAAGCAGAATAAAGTGGTACTGTATGTTTAAAATTAGATATTTGAAAGTATTTATGTCAATTATTAAATAAAACAAACTTTATCAAATAAATAAGCAGTTCTTATGCATCCATTTCTATAAGGATGTATAGGGGATAAAATATAAATATATGGCCCTTGTCATAAGGGAACATAATATCAAGTATATAAAAATGAAATAATACTAGAGAGATATAATAGTTCCATGAAACAATATAACAGAAGAAATGTTCATATATATATATATATATATATATATATATATATATAGTAACTTATATTTTATTTTCAAGCTCAGCCATGACTTTATAACCCTTCTGGAATTGTTGGCTGCTTGAATGATCCTGGACAAATTACTTAGTCTCTCTGAGTCTCAGTTTCTAATTTTATGAAATGAGTGTAAGAAATACCATACTTCTCATGGAAAGTTTTGTAAAATACTGTACTTGGCACATATATGGTGGGGTCTAGTAAGTGTTAATTCCTTTTTCTACTTCAGCTGTTTTAATGTGAAGGTAGAGGGTGGGTGGAGATTCCTGTTGACTTGGCAGAATGGATGATCATAATCTGGGCAGGTGGAGAAGAGTGGGAAGGTGTTACAGGTAGATAGGGGGATTTAGACAAAAGCACAGGGTAGGAAGGCCAGCAGGGCCAGGGCTTCCATCTTGTCTAGAGCAAAGACTATAGGATGGCAGCTGGCCTCAGATCAGGTTGGTGACCCTCATTCCCCATGTTGGTAAATAAGGTTGACTTGCTCACATGCATTTAGGGACCTAAAAATTCCAAATAGATTAAGAGTACAGTGTAGTTGGGGGAAAAAAAACCTGGCAATTCTATTTCTACTCAAAGGTATGAGGTCAGGAGTCAGTTTTTCAGAGTAAATTAGTTTAGAAATTATCTAAGTCTTTGGAAAACTCCACAATGAAAGGTCTATGTGAATGTGGATTTAATAACAGGGTATGGAATTCCTCAAAGGTGAGCTTAGGAATTCTGGCATTTTAAGTTTTAAAATAATATAATTTATATGTATATATATGAGAGTATGTTGGACTTCTAATCTGTGTTAGAGCCAAGGTTTCTCCTAAAGTAATTGTGTACAGACTCCTGTTTGGTTTCTTTTTGAATATGAAACCAATTTTATAACTAAATCAATTTCCTTCAGATAACCCAATAAGTCTCCTAAACAAGAAGACTATCTGACCCAGGAGACCTGTTTCCACTGATTTCTAATACTGGTGCCAAGGCCTACTGCTGTTGATTGATAAGGGATAAATAATAACGTGGATAATCGAGCTATTTGAATATTATTAAAGTTTAATAAAACAATTTGGTTCTAACAGCATTAAATTCAGATATGAAAGAGGGAGGTGTCTGAACATTAGAGTGAGTATAATTTTGATGATTTGGAGATAAGATACAGTTACTTGCACGTTTTAGACAAAAAAAAAGATGGTGAAACTAGTGAATTTAAGGGAAAAAGCTAGCAATCTGTTGCTTGGGACCTATTGCAGCAGGTTCTCCAGGAAGCAGACTCTGAGATGAAAGTTAACATGCAAGAGTTTATTAGGGAGCCGCAACTTACATAAAGGAAGGCAGGAAGCAGGATTGACCAGAGGGAGAGGGTAGACTGTAATGCAGTCTCAGTAGAGGAGCTCTGGACCTGGGGACTTCAGTCTGGTCTCAAGTTAAGAGTGAGGGGACTGGGCCTTTAAACCTCTGAATCCTCTAGTTATTGGGCACAGACTTCCTTAAGAGAAGGAGGCATGGCTATGAGGCACATACCTACTTTCAGGCTAAGATAGTTCATGATATTTTCCATTCCAGACCCATTGGGAAAGATAACATAGCAACTCTGAGGAGAGAAATGCTTACTAGTCAACTGATTATTAAGACAAAGCATTCAATGACATTTACACCATTCATAGCCATAACTACCATTTAACAAGTATTTATTATATGCCAAGTATTGTGCTAAATGAAGTATACTGTTTTGTTTAATCTTATAGGTCTCTGACAGGGGCAGTGTATCTCTAGATGTAAGGGAAGAAACTAAGGATCACAGAGTCTAGATTACTTGTTCAAGATCCCATATTCAGGGAGGGGAGGGGAGGGGGGATAGTAGGGGATAGGAAAGGTAGCAGAATACAACAATTACTAATTGGGCATTATGTAAAATTGTGGATGTGTAACCGACGTGATTCTGCAATCTGCATTTGGGGTAAAATTGGGAGTTCATAACCCACTTCAATCTAATGTATGAAATATGATATGTCAAGAGCTTTGTAATGTTGTGAACAACCAATAAAAAAAAAAAGATCCCATATGCAGAGCCAGTATGTATGCTCAGGGCTGAGTATAAACTCTTCTGGAGCACGCAGTAAAAGTTATAATGCTGAACTTGACTTGGGAAGAACCTGTTCAGGGAATACAAGGTTTTCTTTCATACTTAAATGGGTGGTCTTGTGAACTACATTGAAACAAGTTTGGTGAGTAGCTATATAAATGTTAACCATACTTAGTAGTTTATAATTACATTACTTTTAAAGGGAAAATGCGTAACATTTACTGCTCTGTTGCCTATTAAAATACTTACTTCATGACATGAGGACCCAAACTAGTATGATTGGATACCATTATAAAGCTACCAATGCCCATGGAATTCCAACTAAGAGGCAACTCTTATTCAATGGAAAACATCAACTGTTATAAATATTTCCAGATATATGTTGAAGCAGAAGATCAGACTAAACTTTTAAAAGTAGAATTCGTTCACCAAAAAATAATATGCATTTGTTGAATATTATCTCGAAGCTCTCTTCTGTTAGAGCAACAGTTTTCTTAATCTTGGGAATAGAAATTACAGTTTCAATTTAAGGCTCTGTTTCCCCTTCTTTAGGTCTCTCTACATCAATCTTGTGGGACTCTGGATAATCCTCGTCTGCTCAGTATTTTGTGGGCTTGCCCTGTATTCCAGGTACCATGACTGTGACCCTTGGACAGCCAAGAAAGTGTCTGCAGCAGACCAGGTTTGACGCCATGTCTTCTTCACACATGCATTAGAGACATTATAAAAGCATATCTGTCAGGGGGAGGAAGAGTCCTTGTCTTCATAGGAAAGAGCAGATGGGCACAATTTTACCATATTTCAAAAGCATTTGGCCAAAATATATTTTAGCAGATAGAGCAAAAATGAAGAGTGCTGAATCTAACATTAAAATGTTGAAATACCTGGAAAAAATTTAGGCCAGGTGTTAAATAGAAATAACTCAGGGCTAGGAGTAGAAATGTAAACATAGTTGAAAAAAAAGTCTATACACAAACTGTGGTCCTGTGGAACATTTGGTGGGTGATGTTAGATTGCTTACTTATAACCAATTTATCTTCTGGTTTTTAAATCATAGAGAAACAGATCTCGTAAGTAAACATGGGTTGAATACTAACATGCTTCATTTAATTCTCACAAGCCTGTAATTCTAATTTTATAGATGATAAAATGAATTTCAGAGAGGCTAATAAATAAGAATAACTAGGAGTGCTTAGCAGATACTATGGGCCAGGTACCATCACGGGTGCTTTATATAAATTTTAATTTTTTTATTTTCGCAGCTGTGCTCTTGAGTGCTCAAAGATGAGGAAACTAAGGTAGAGAGGAGTTAAAGTAACTAGCTTGTAAATCTGGAGCCAGGATTCAAACCCAGACAGGCTGCCACTGGAGTCCTGTGAACCTCTGTGCCATGCATTGTCTTTCCAAGAGTGTAGCTAGAATTCAAACTCAAGAGTACCTGACTCCAAAAAGCCTGTGTTCTTGCCAAAATTACTAAGACTTGCTTTACATCCAGCATCCAGGGGCCTCATAGGATGAAAACAGACTCAATTTTATGTGGATGCAAATGCATTATTTAGTTCAAGAAAAATGCATCTTTGTGGGATGATTAAATGACAGCCTCTTGAAGCTGCATGTCTCAACCCCATTTTAACTTGACCTGTTTGGTAAACATTCCCTCTGAAGTTCTCGTATACCCTGAAGATGGAGGCACTTTTTTTGTTATGTTCTTTCAAATCAAGAACTTTTTGATTTTTGTCAGTATTTATCATCTATGGTTTATATCACGAAGACAAACAAGGATTTAAAGAATGTTTTCAATATGCATTTCCCTTACCCTGGGACAAAAAAAACAAAACAAAACAAAAACAAACAAACAAAAAACCTCCAAAACATCTTACCTTTGAGATTCCTTGTTATGCACTATATTCAAAGCATCTTGCTTGTTTCATCTAGAGAACTCTTGCTGAGACCACCTCTCCTACCACCAACACCACAATAGATGCTTCTAGTACTGTGTTGTTAGTTAAGAATGAATTCAACTAGGACATTCACTGAGGACACAATACTAATTAGACAGAGTCAGTGGATGATCAGATCAAATGTTATCCTCAGAAGTGCAAAGATATGTCTCCACTACACTGATGGTCCACAGCCCGGGCAAGCACAGCTAGTGCCTAGATTTAATTTTACTATTTTCTTGCCTAGCAACCTTATCTCATCCATTCTACCTATACCTGAGGGAGTCATTCAGAGTATGAAGGATCATACTGATAATTTTTTGGGGAAAATTGATCATAAGGTAAAAAATTTTGGACCTCATTATGATACTAATGATAGATATTTTACTTTTGCTAATGAGTAAAACTCATTAAACTTTTAAAAGTATCTTGGGAAAATTGGGTGTTGATTTCATTTGGGAAGTTCTTTCTTTCTTTCTTTTTTTTTTTTTGAGAATAAAGAATTTATAAGCTTTGGAGAAGGTGAAAAAAGTATTCCTAAAATAACAGAGATCTTTTCAATAGTGGAGAAAGGTCTTCCATATCCCATCCATACACTGTTGCTAAAAGAAACCATAGAGGCTGTAAAAGCTGATAAGATAGAGCATGATTTCTCTTCTGCACTGTGGGACAAGTAATCAATAAAGGCTCAATGCAAATGAAGGATACTTTGTATCAAATTGTCCACTTAGGACTCTTTTGATTAAAAAAGTAATTTTTCAGAAAGATGACCAAGTAATAAATATAGTAAAGTCACAGACCTGTTCATCCTTATTTAATATTTATTTTAAACACTTACATTATCAGAAAGCACTTGGTATCAAGAACTTTCTGTAAAGAACACATTTCAGAGATTTTCAAGGTCACACTCTACCCATCACTATGTGCAAGTCAAATTTGGTCTTTAGTCTTGAGCAGTGACTGAAGTTCATGAAACAGCCTTGAGGTATCAAACAAAGAGAATGCTACTTTCTTAAACACAGATATGCGTAAAATGTTTCCTTAAGAATGTCTCTTACTATTTCATAAACTAAGAGCTGCTTTTATTGAGCATTTATTATATTCCATGTTCTATTCTAAAAGATCTACCTAGATTATGTAACTTACCTTTTACAGTATCTCTATGCGTTATTATTATATTACCCTTTTTAGAAATGGCGGAACCTAGGTTCGGAGAAATTAAGTAACCCAAACCATACCTATCTGACTCCATAGCTTGTGTACTTAACTATCGTCTTTTGTTTCTTTAAGTGTTAGCAATTAAAGCTATTAAAGTTTTATGTGTTTGAAAATTTTTGTTATGTGAAGTAGCTCCTTCTATTTATGAAAAAAACCCACAGATACATTAGATATTCATTGATTTTATTCAATAACAAATAATTTTTAGGCGTAAATTTTGGAATTTTTCAGCTCATGCCATATCTGGTACTGGATATTCTGCAAGATTATCCGGGAGTTCCTGGACTTTTTGTGGCCTGTGCTTACAGTGGAACACTGAGGTATGAACTATGACCCTGTGAGCATGTTATTTCCTATAGGCATCTTTCTTTTCTTGTCGGTTACTTTGGGTGAAAAAGCTTCATTCTAGACATGACACAGATGACCCCAAACAGGCAAACTTTTCCATGTATCCTCTCTTGTTGGTCTGACTCTCTTATCTCTGTGGAGTAGCACCCTTTGTCATCAGACCCCACTTTCAACCTGGCTTCTGATCTCTAATATACCATAGCATGTCCTATAGGGTCACAGAAATGATCACTTGAAGGTTCCTTTCACCGATCATCAAATATGGGTGCCTAGAGTCATGTTTAAAACATGCATGTGGCTGAAGCATAGTCAACTGACAAATTAGAATTAGATTTCTTACTCACATGTTGAATAATATTCACTGTATATATATATACTCTTGTGTTTTGTTATTGAACTGACTAATTGCACTTTCTTCTTATGTGTGCTCCAGGGGATTGTTATCATCAACATGTACAGTATATGTTAATAAAATAATAAGATTGATATTTAGGGCATATATTACTGAGGATTGAGGACAGTCTTTTCTATGTACAAAAATATATTTTAATATTGTTATAAGATAAAACTGAGTAATATATGTCGATTCTTTTTATAGACAGAGGGTTAACAGGGAAGTAGAGGAAACATTAACTTATCCTTTCTCTTTTACTCTTTAGCCTGTGGTTGTTGTTTGAATCATTCTTGGATGATAACAGCTTCCAGAAAGAGGATGCTGTGATCACTGAAGATAACTTGGCAATCTGGTTACATTTTAGAAGTGTCAATTTGCTTCCTTCTTTTGTATTCCCACCAAAAGTATTTTTTAAAATTAAAATCTTATGACTTAAAAGGTTTTTTTTCCCCTTTCAGCACAGTGTCTTCCAGTATTAATGCCTTAGCAGCTGTAACTGTGGAAGATCTGATCAAGCCTCGCTTCCGGTCACTCTCAGAAAGGTCTCTGTCTTGGATTTCCCAAGGAATGAGTAAGTTTTTATATTCACAATTCCATTGTAGCTCACAGATGACTTTTTTGAGGTATTAGAAATTCTTTTCCTCTGAAGAAATATAGTGTCTCTGAGTGTGTGTGTGTGTATGTGTGTGTGTGTGTGTGTGTGTGTGTGTGTGTGTTTCTTATGGCTTAATGCAGACATGACCATATTTGTAACCAAGATTTGGGAGATACTTCAAAGGTTTAATTGTTGGTGGATCATCCAGAACAATTCCCAGGGATCTATTTGGCTGTCCTTGATGATGATTAATAACAAATCAGCTTGCTAACATATGTCAGATTTTCAATCTTTTTTTCATTCATTTTTAATGGTTTTATGAACTCATTATGTTGGTAATAAGCTTTAAGGACATCATAAACAAGAACAGGACAGATAATTTGAATGTTTTTTCAATAATTTTGACCATAATGGTGACTGTTCATAACCTATCAAATGGAGAAGAATCAAGCTAAATAAATTGGAAATACTATTTATATCAGGACTGAGAGGCACTGAAAAATCATTGCAATAGAAACTCTTTTTAGATAATTAATGTACTTAGCAAAGGAGTGGGTACTAGTATAAATAAGATAGGATAACAAAACATAAGGAATGTATTCATTTTACATGATAAGAAATTTCCCATTCATTTTTTTTCTATATTTTGGATTTGAGCATGGGAAATTATATGGTAATTTCAGGTAATTTTTGCTGGATGGATTTTTCAAAATAAGAAATTTGAGGGAATAATAGTTTCCTAGTTCTCAAAGCAACAGATATCTGGAAAAAATATGGAAAATACCAAAAATCAAAATAAGAAAAAAAAAATCCCATGGTCTGTACAGCCTGATACAACTGGTGGTGGCTGGAGAATTTTCATAAAGAAGTTTAGATAAAAATAAGTTGGTAGAAGAGGAAATATATTTTTCTTGAAGTGACCTTGCTTTGCAAGTTTAACAAGAAAATCTTGGGGATGCTAATAGAGATTATGAGGGCCTAAGATTTCAATTCCCTTGTGTGGATTGCCCCTTCCCAGGAGAAATGAATGCCGAAGGTCAGCAGAGTCCAATTTCTGATGTTTTATGAGTCTCCTCTCCTGCCTTATTGTCTGGATCAGAGATCTGGCAGGCTGAACACAGAAACCTGAGCCTTTCTTTATAGACAAATGTTTATGGAGGATTAAATTAATAACACAATAGTTCTTAGTTTTAAAATCCCTGTAGTTAATTCTAGGGATTCTTTTCTTATGTAATCTACTGATATAACTAATCCTGAGACACAATAGAAAGGCTTTATTTGTCCTGTTTGTACCCTGCTGATCTTGTAGGAAAATACCTCTTTCCTTGTTTTGCTGGATCCAAGGCGTGTGGCCCATCTTTCCTTAGTCATATTGTTCACTTTGATTCAGAAATGCAGTAGCTTATTTTATTGACAATTCAAGTTATCTGAGTCGAAATTTTACCCTGCCTCTTAAATCATGCATCTAGGTGTGCTGTATGGAGCTCTGTGTATTGGAATGGCTGCTCTGGCTTCACTCATGGGAACTTTGTTACAGGTAAGAGCTGACTCCAAAGGTTAAAGTCTTAATCACTAAATTCTTTTTTTTTTAATGTTCATGTGATCATCCTTCCAGACTTTTCTCCAAATATATATCTACCCATGGATGTATCCAGGGATAGAGATGACTAAATTATTTAATAAAAAATTTGAAATTGAACTTTTTATTTTGAGATACCTGCAGATCCACATATAACTGTAATAAATAATTCAGAGAGATTGCGTGTATCTTTCACTGGGTTTCCCTCAATGGTCACATCTTGCACAAACATCTTGCAATGGGAACTTCTTGATTGGACCACATCACAGCCAGGATAGTGACATTGGTACAGTGAAGATACAGAACAATTCCATCACCACAAGGACCCCTCCAGCAGGGGTCACCTTCACAGCCACACCTACTTCTCTCGTCTCACTTCCTCCGTGACCTTTAGTAATCGCCATTCTGTTCTCCAGTGCTATAATTTTGTTAGGTTGAGAATGTTGTATAAATTAAATGGTATTGTCTGTAATCCTCTGAGGTCTTCCTGGTTCTTGGTCTTAAAAGTGAATGTTGATAGAAACCTGGAAATTTTCGTACTATGTGATGTGACTTTGGATCTTACAACGTCTATCTCAGCTGTCTTTCCCTGATACCACTTCAGTAGCATGAGGGTCATTGCCACTTGGAGGTGGAAGTCCAGGTTCCCCACCTGGCCCAGTTAGCTCTTCAGGGAGGAGCTCGTTGATATGCTGGTGTGTATGCTCCATAAAGCATACGCATGCGGTGGCATTAAGATTAAAGATAGACCATAGGCACTTAAGTGTCTTGCAGGGTGGATACTATGTGTCACTTAACAGCGTAATACAACCTGTCCCTGGGAGTTTCCAGTCCTGGCTCAGGGACTTCCAGCAGACAAGGCAACCTCAGCACAGATGCAACTCTCCTAAACCTTAGGAAAAACTTACCCTTGCAAGAATAGCTTAAACTCCCTTCGTGAAAGAAACACCCAGTAAATGATCCGGACTGAAGACAGATATAAGAAGGGGGAGAGGATCTCCCAGACTCTGAGAATGGTCTCTGGATGGACACTCTTCCAATTGGTCTGATCCCTGAGTGTATCTGGCCCATGCCACTGGCTGGCTTTTGCTTTTTTTTTTTTTTTTTTTCCCCTGCTATCTTGTAAGAGCACTGTAAAACCCTTCATCACCTATGTCTTGTCTTTTCACTATTTAAGTCACAAACAAAAGAGATAATGGGGATCAAGTTGTGCATTCTTAACATTCTTATTCAATAGAATCCCAATTGAAAAATAGTGTAAGTGACATATTTCATTTTATCTACCTAAAAGGGTTTTAAAAAAAGGCCCAAACTTCAAATTTAGTATTTATACATGAAAAACAATTAGACTGTGTAAACAGGAAATGTGTATTATGGTGAATTTACTACTAGTAAAAAAGTCCTCAAAAGAAAAAAAAATAGCACTGTAAGAGAGTACTTAACACCCATCTTTAAGGCAAATTGAATAGGAGGGGAGAACTCGCCCTTGAAGAAGTGGGTTAACTAGGACTACCCACTGGCAATTAGGATGGAATAACTAAGTGAGCAGGTGAGTACTAACACTCATTTCTATGGGAGAATCAAGAAAGAGTAGCTAGGTACTGTCTCTGATCAAGACATCTGTGAAACCCTGTGGAACGTTCACAGTGAGTGATTTTTATTCTGCTTTCTGGTCTATTGCTGCCTCTTGTGCATGCCTTTGTTGTGGAAAGTGCCACCCAGGCAAAACCTGCCACTGTTGTTACTAAGACCACTCTAGCCCTAGTAAGGGCAGACAGTCTCCAAAGAGGAGGATGGTATTTATTCCAGGAGGATGTCTTGAAGCTGGAGTTATAACACCAGGGTTCACTCTCCAGGCCTTCCCAGGCCCATTGCCCATGGAAGGAGACCCATCCAGCCACATGAAATAAGGACAGAGCAATGTCTTTTGGCAGTAAAATGTTGAAGGGTGCTCCCATATTGGCTCATCTCCAACAGACCTCATGAATTCTTCCTGATTATACTTAAGCAGACAGGGCCCATCCACCCACCGACCTAGAGAGCTGAGCACCAATTTTCCCATCTACTAGAAGATGACTTCACTGATAACAATGCTGCCTTATACTTGGGAGGGTTGCACAGACCAACCCATCAACCCTGACTACATTGCCACCTGGTAAGGCCTTTACTGGTGTATTTGCCCAGTAGTCTCTTGAGCCTCCTCCACCACTGTTTGCATAGTCTCCAACTCCTAAGTAAACAGCTGTTGAGACTGGCAGCCATTTGAGATGGACAAGGCTCAAACTTTGGCTTGGACCATACCCAAGATCAAGCATCTTTGATATCACCCCCTAGCACACACAGTATCTCCAGACCTTACTGCTTGGTTTCAAGTCCTCTTAATCCTCCTGACTCATTCCCACTTGCCATTGCTTTGTAATGAAGCAGTTCCAAGCCTGCTACTACTAGGTCTGTTGATCCTTCTACATCCTCATGTGACCATTTTTCCAAGCCCCAGTGTGCCCACTGCCTTTTCCAGTTTCAGGCAGTCTGATGTTTCATATCTAATTGTGCCTTCCCAGACTGTTTATTGATCACTTGGAATTGAAGTTATCGTCATCCTCCGCCATGGGTCATTTTGGTCACCAACAGGGGCCAACCTTTCAGCTTGCTACATGTGACTTCACTGGCCTTCTGCCACTCATGCACACCCTAAAACTAGTTTTGAACCACAAACTTCCCTCACCATTGGCGAGTCTGCCCTAGGTCTACAGCTGAACTCCCCTATCCTTATCTTAATTGTTCAGCTGGACACTGGACCTACTCTATGCCCTCTGCTGATCATGCAGTTTGGTTCTTACCAGATTATTCTGAGGATGCCACTGATTCCTCCTCAGTGTGCTAACAGCAGATATGTTTGAGATTTGAATGGCCATGGAGTATACTTTCAAGTTCAGGTACTTTCTAAGTTATTGACCTCTTCAGGGTCAGGAGGTGGAATGTAGTACACTATGAGACTTATCGTGGCTTAATAACAACCCACTCAAGTGTCTTGCAGGATTAATACTATGTGTCACTTAGCACTATGATGTAGCCTGGCCTGGGGATTTCCAAGAAGCAAAATCCCCTCAGCAAATACAACTTTTATAAACCTTAGAACAAAGGTTACCTTTGCAAGAATGGCTTCACCTTCCTCTGTGAAAGAAATACCTAGTAACTATACTGAATGCATTTTGTATAAGAAAGAGAGAAGAATCCCCCAGATTCTGAAAATGGTCTCAGGATAGAGAACCTCTAGGTCAATTAACCATCTGACCCCTTAAATATTTCTGTCCCATAATACCAACCTGCTCCCATTACCTAACTTGTAAGAATGCAGCTGGAATGAACTGCTTGAGGTGGTTTCTAAGGCTCATCTTTTTTTTTTTTTTTTTTGGGGGGAGGAGGGGTACCAGGGATTGAGCTCAGGGGCACTTGACCACTGAACAATATCACCAGTCCTATTTTGTATTTTATTTAGAGACAGGGTCTCACTGAGTTGCTTAGCACCTCGCATTGCTGAGGCTGGCTTTGAACTTGCAATCCTCCTGTCTCAGCCTCCCGAACCTCATCTTTAATGTACAATGCAGTCAACCTCAGGGAAGCTGGTGAACTAGGACCATCCAATACCCCAAAACATAATAGGGTAGGGTAGTGTCCACTGAAACCATGAGGGAGGTGGCTTTGTTCCTGCTGACACTGGTGAAAGTCCTGATTCTCCACTAGGCTTTCTGTGTCATTATTTAACATAGGAGCACCCTGTTATAGGCAACCTACTTGGATTTTACTGTATGTTTGTGAGTGGGGTGACAGTTTATTCTGTGGTGTTTGGATGGAAAGCAGCTCTTGGTGTCTAAGTTTTCTCTTTCTAGGCTATTTATTCCTTTTCTTGTCTTGTGTTTACAGAGGGCAGGATTTTGTTGGAGTTTTTTTTTTTTTTCCCTGTACCTATATTTCTTTCTGGGTTGGCTGATTTCCTCAGCTCTAAAACTGGGTATATAAAGCAAAAAGAAAACCCAGAGAATTCACCAGGTTGCTTGTCAGGCCCTGAGGTAGCCTGTCTGCCTTTCCTCACTTTTCAGATTCCTTTCATGTTCTTCTTCTTATGTTCAGTTTATGTATAATGTCCAGGATTTTTAGCTTTATTAGCAAGTGGAATAGAAAAGAATATGTCCACTCTATCTTCTTGGAAGTGAAAAAACCTATATTCCTTTTTGTTGTTGTTTTGTTGTAACCTAAGGGTCCCTCTCCTCCTGCAGCATTTGTTACCTTTATTTTTTGTGGGGAGGGGGTACCAGGGATTGAACTCAGGGACACTCAACCACTGAGCCACATCCACAGCCCCATTTTGTATTTTATTTAGAGATAGAGCTCACTGAGTTGCTTAGCACCTCGCTTTTGATGAGGCTGGCTTTGAACTCAAAATCCTCCTGCCTCAGCTTCTGGAGCTACTGGGATTATAGGCATGTACCACTGAGTCCAACCTTGTTAGCTTTTTTCTTATGGAGAATTATTTTGGGTTGGAAAGTTCCCTCCTGCTTCTGGGGAGTTGTTGGGATGGAGAAGATAGCTGATCTTTGGAATTTTTTTTTTTTTGTGAACTTGGTTTGTACTTTGCCATCTTTAGTACATGTGCCCCAGCACTGGCCCCCTGCTCTGCCTAGAACAACCTTCCTCTCTATCTCAACTGCTTAAGTCTTATTTATCCTTCAACTTAAACGTTGTTTATTCAAACAGACCTTTTCTGTTACCCAGCTAAGTTTGGGTTTGCTTATGCTAAATGTGACCAGAGTGCCAGCAATTCCTTCATCATCTCCATTATCATGCTTTATTGCAGGTATGTGTTTGACGTTTGTTTTACTAAGTGGTCTGTAATTTCATGAGAGGGAGGATTATGTCATTGTTATTCACCATTGTATGGGACATCTGGTGCCTACTGCAGTGCCCAGGAAAAAGTAGGCAGTTAGCAAATTCAGCTTGAATGTACCTATTTAGCTATTGGCACATAAAGACCCACTTCTCTGATCACTTTGGGTACTTTTTGACTCTATGGGCTCCTCCTCTGGGACTTTTGCACCTCTTTATGATCTAGAAACAAAGGTAAATGCTGAGCAAAGTTGGAGCCCTCCAGAATCTTGCTTCAATCCTCAGGCTTGGGTCTGTTCTGATTGGTTGTTGCTTTGAGCATACAAGTTGTCAAAATAGTTTGATTTTGTCCCTTATTATATGAGAAAATGAATTGGTACAGAAGTTCCAGGCCTATCAGCACACCTAATCATAATGAAATAAACTGATTCTGAGTGTGCTTTTCTCCAGCATTACTGCTGTGAGCTCTTATTGCGTTGCCCATTTTTTCCAGTACTTTTGGCTCTGTCCTGATTGTATACAGTGAGATGATGTGGCAGAATCATTATAACTCCAAGCCAGTTCTTCCTGAATTCATTGCAAACCACTATCTTATTCCTCTATCAGATTCTTATTTAAATATCAGCCTTTATCCTGTCATAACTAGCTTCGTGGGTTATGTGATTATCTTTTGCATCTTCAGTGGAGTCTGTCTCACAGCCTAATGGATTCTGCTGTGAACCCATTTCTGATTGCTTCCTTGAGTCCATATCCCCACAAACACCACTTCTCTCTCATCACTTCCCACCCTTCTTTCTCTATCTCACAAGACAGTCTTTAAAATTTGCTTTAATCAAAGACTACAGTCCATACCTTTTTAGCATTTCCTTGACTTGGTATTTTTCTCTCTTTGATTTAGTCTTTTTTTTTTAATTCTCCTTTCCTATAAACAAACCAAAATTTCCCCAGTTCTTCCTTTTATGGTCTTGTCTATTCTTTATTTCTAATTAATATGTAAAGTTGTACCTAATTATGGGGTTTCAATACATGTACACATTATGTAATGTTAAAAGAAGGGTAAATATATTTATCCTTTCAAGTATTTACCATTTCTTCTAAGCTTTTTGGAAATATACAGTCCATTGTCATATCATTATCGATAGTCATTCTTTTTCTGTGCCACAGGATGCCAGAACTTATTTTTCCTATAAAACTCTAATTTGGTGCTTACTGACCAACCTTTCCTTATCCTTCCCTCCCCCCTACTCAGAAACACTATTGGGGACATGTATGTCTTGGAAGCTTCAGTTATTTGCATGTCGTCATGCTTCACATTGTCAATCTTTTTCACTCTCATGGTTTTAGCATCTCTACATCAAAGGAAATTAACGTTACAGTTATCCAACTAGATTTTAAATATATTTCTGCCTCATTTGGTTCATCTTTGTTTTAGTCATATTTTTCATTCTAGTCCCATCCCTAGGGAACCAGATGAAGAATGGCACATGAGTTTCCTCCCCATCACTGCTCAACAGCAGTGCTTATCCACAGTCTTGCTTTGAGGAGTATTTTGAGACTATCAGAGCAAAGCAAGCTCTGCCATTAGAACATCGTGTTCTGATGAAGTCAGTTACGACAGGATAATCTGTGACTTGGGCATCCATTTGCGGGCTCCCACTGTCTGGTGACTCTGTCTTCTTGCTTTTTGTTGCCTTTTTGGAGGATGCCTGAAGGAAGAGGTGGACAACTGAATTGAGAAGCAGAAGTTTCCAAGTCCCAGTGACCTTTTGCCAATGACAAGGCTGCCGTGAATCCGATTCTGATTTTCAGGAGGGGTTGAATACTTCAAATCCTCATCGTGATAAAATTACTTTGAAATATTTTTGTTTGGATTTGAAGCTGCTAATTGCTAACTTTATATTATTTTTGTAGGCAGCGCTCAGCATATTTGGCATGGTTGGTGGACCACTGTTGGGCTTGTTTTCTTTGGGCATTTTGGTTCCCTTTGCCAACTCAATCGTAAGTATAAAAAATGAATATGTGAAAAGTTTATTTTTCCAACTAAAGAGGCAGTTTTACATCCCATTCTACCCGACCCCTGTTGTAACTATATGGTTGCTTTGAGATCTGTCATTTGTTACTTGTCTTGGTGACTGAAATTACTTACTTGACTTTGATGCTTTGATGGAGGGTAGTGAAGGGCTATGCATTGGGACCTTGTGTGTATAAAGCTGAATAGAAACTTCAAGAATCATACAGTGAAAATTTAAGTATCCATGATGTAGCTAAAGGAGAAACAGTTTTCATGCATTTATTTTCTTGCCCTTCTTAAGAATTAATGGCTAGAATTTAAGGAAGGAGATGAGTAGGCTTATACATGAGAGTTTTAAGGACAATAAAACTGAGGATACCTGTGAGTAGTTATAATACAGGAAAGAGAAGTAATAAGATTTTCACCATAAAGATTGTACATCTGATAATTATAACTATACCTTCAAAACATGGTGTCTAGCCCATAAGAGGTGATTATAATTAGGAATATTATCCAGAAAGAGGTAATATCTCTGTTTTCTTACATAGTCATGTCTGGGCTTAGAATCTAAATTTTATTTGGAATAAATGAAATATAAATTTATTCTCTTAAAGCTACTTCTCTGAAAGGAGAAAGTTCACTGGTTCGGTTCTGCTATATGATGAAGTTCAGGAAAAAATAAGAATGTACGTGTAGTTATTACAGATGTTTATAGAGTAACTATTGAACACTCAACATGCAGAATTATATTTTTCTTATAAGGCATTGGCAATTGGCAGATATTAATAAGGGCTGTTATCATTATCATTTTAATAAAATTATCAATGAAGTATCATGAAAAAGTTAGTTTGGTAGAAATTCACACAATTAAAGAGTACGGTGTGTCATGCTCAGGAAGTTTGAATCTTTGATAAGGTTCTTTGTATTATGAAATGCATAATGGTTTGTTGAGTATCTGAGAAGAAAGAAAGATCAGCTTTTGGTTCTTGACATTTTTTGCTACCACAAATGTCCTCCAAAGGAGCTGTAGATGTCTAAGTCCTACTTGCTTTTTTGAAGAGGAGGTGAGGAGAATAACATTTTATTTTTCTTCCCATAGAAGTATCTCTTCTTACCATAGATTATCCACCTTCCTTTTTTGGAGTGGCTCTCTCTCTCTCTCTCTCCCCCTCCCTTCCTCCCTCCCTCCCTCCCTCTCCCCATTCATTGAATATTTATGGGCTAAGCACTGTCTTGGGAGTAGAGCTCTGGATGTTTCTGCCCTCATGAGTTTTATAATTTTGTGGATCCTTGATCAAGGGTGTTAGCTATTCATTGCTGTGAACAAAGTGTCTGACAAAAATAACTTAGAGGAGAAAAAGTCTATTTTGGCTCATAGTTTCAGGGGTTCAGTATATTGATGGCTGATTCCGTTCCTTTGGGCCCAAGGTGAGGCAAAGCTCCATGGTGGAAGGGTGTGACAGATGAGCAGCTCTGTTCATGGCAGCCAGGAAGCAGAGAGAACAGGAAGGGACTATAGGGCATTTAAACTTTTCTGGAGCATGTCCCCAGTGACCTACTTCCTCCAGGCAAGGTCTACCTGCCCAACCACTCAATTTAATCCATTCAAACTGGGGTGGACTAATTAGGTTATATTTCTCATAATCTAATTATCTTACCTCTGAATATTCCTGCATTAGTACAGGTACTTTTGGGGAACACCTCATATCCAAAATATAACATCAAGCCATGTATCCCACTAAGAGTAAGCTAAGTCTGGCCTGTCTACAGATGGCCACCAACTATGCTAATCTCATCTTATTCAAAATTTATTGTGCTCCAACTATGTGTCCAGTAAGTGCAAAGGTACTAGAAGGAGAAAATAAAATCTGATTTCAGCTCTCAAAGAGTTCATAGTTTATGAAAGAGCTTACAAAAATCCTTGTCCGCAACATGAATCTCCTGATCTGATCAGCAACCCTCCCACTCTCCTACCAACACACCGTTCAATCTCCTACACTGTGATTTCACTTTTGTTTTCCCCCTAACTTCAGGTGCTCCTTCCTTTCTTCTCCATGTAGTGCCTAATGCTCAGGCCACCCTTACTGACCATGATTCCTAAATTTCACTACAGAGGGAAGGTCTTTCCAGCTCAGGGTTTACTTCTTCCCTGTCATTTGTAACGGGAGCGTAAATCATTCAAGAGCTAACAGAACCACTGGATTTCTGGTGAAAAAGGGGTACCTGAATCTTATAACTTCACAGGGCACAGCTGACCAAATTCTCCCCTCTCTGTCTCCATTTACCTTTATAAAGTCTTGGTTTTGTTGAGAGTACTATCACAGTCATTTGTAAAAACTGTTTGCTAGTTTCTCTCTAGTTGTCCTATAGCTCAGTTACAATCATGCATGTTGTTAAATGTAAGGATAAACCTGATATGCTTTTTTGTACGTGTGGAGTGCTATTTGCTCAGATTAAATGAAATGTAGGTGACAGTTATCTTGTAGCCAATTATGTGACTGACTTCATTTTTTGGATATGAGAAAAAGAGAAGGCCAGAGAAAAAGTATTGGCCGTGGGAATAGTGGAAAAAATGAAAGTATGTGACATTTGAAAAGAAAAATGGGTAGGAATTCATGATTGGTTAAAAGTGATATGGAAAAGGGCATGGGGTTACAGAGTCTACAAGGGTCTGGACTGAGGGACCAGGGCCAATGGTACCCATGACAAAAGGCAGCAATCCTGCGAGGAAGTCGAGTTTTAGAAAGGGAGCTGGTGAATTGGGCTTGGATCGTGTTGAACTTAACTTCTTAATGTTAATTCCCATTTCAAAGCACTCTGTATTTTTCTTTCAAAAGCATTGTCTTTCTCTAGGGAGCACTTTTGGGCCTCTTGGCTGGATTTGCCATTTCCTTATGGGTTGGAATTGGAGCTCAACTTTATCCTCCACTTCCTGAGAGAACTCTGCCATTACCTCTGGAAACCTATGGCTGCAACAGCACGTACAATAGGACAGATTTGATGACAGCCACTGCAATGCCATTTTCTACAAGTGCTTTTCAAGTACACAACATTGAAAGGTACTAAGTTTTAAAATCTGTCTTTAAAATTTAAATGACAAATAGAGAACTCCAGTTGCTTTTTGTCTAGCCTGTAACACTGTGTTTTTTTCTGATTCTGAAATGGCTATAGCCCATGTCACTTTCTGGCTGTAACATCTTATTCAGCAATCGCAAAAGAAAAATCGGTATTTTCTTTATTTGTACAACAATTTCTGTCTTATCGAAAGATCTAAAGGAGACTTGAATATTTTTTAAATAACTTTATTTTGTTTATTTTTTTAATTTGGTGCTGAGGGTCAAACCCAGTGCCTCATACGTATGACGCAAGCACTCTACCACTGAGCTACCACCTCAGCCCCAGCCTTGAATATTAATTTAAAAATTCTATTATGGATAAACTCTACCAAACATCAGCTCTAGCTGCTTAAAGAATTATCTCTCTTTGAAAAACTTTACAATGAAAAACTCAATTATAAAGAAATATTGTTTATACATCTTTGAAATAGATTCTCTACTGTTGTGGTTTAGATAGTTGCCCCCAAAAGCTCATGTGCAATAAAGTTTAGAGGTGAAATGATTGGGTTATGAGAGTTTTAACCAATCAGTACATTAATCCTCTGATAGGGATTTAACTGGGTGGTAACTGTAGGCAGATAGGATGTGGCTGGAGAAGGTGGGTCATTGGAGTGTGCCTTTGGAGTATATATTTTGTCTCTGGTGAGGGCAGAAGTCTTTCTCTGCTTCCTTATAAGATGTTCTGAGCCGCTTTCCTCTGCCACATCCTTCCACCAGGATGTCCTGCCTTATCTCAAACTCAGGGTAATGAAGTTGGCCATCTATAGACTGAGACCTCTGAAACCATGAAACCAAATAAACTTTTCCTCTTCTAATTGTTTTCATCAGGTCTTTTGGTCATAGTGGCAAAAAAAAGCTGCCTAAAATATCTACTTACTAAAGAAAGATTGTGAATCTTTAAAACACTACCAATGAGTTACAGCTGTGACATTCTTGCTGGAGTTTTTAGTTGTGTGTATGTGTGGGTGTGTTTGTGTGTGTGTATTTTTTTTTTTTTTTGGTACGGGGAATTAAACTAGGAGGCACTCCACTAGTGAGCCTCATCCCCAGCCCTATTTTGTATTTTATTTGGATACAAGGTCTCATTGAGTTGCTTAGCAGGTGCTGAGGCTGGCTTTGAACTCCCAATCCTCCTGCCTCAGCCTCCAAAGCCACTGAGTATGTAGTATATTTTTGAGCCTATGAACACTTAATGAAATAATACACACTGTGTCTTATTTGAATAGTCAACAATGTAAGGGCAAGAATTTGTAAAAGTACAGGCTTAAAGTGCACAAGTCTTGTGGATAATTTTGAGGAATGCAAAAATAAGGCCACTGTCCCCAAAGTGTTGCCACAGCGCCAGCTTGCATAAAATAACAATATTAGAGAATCATTGCTTAAGTGTCTAGATGAAGTGTCTCCTTCTTAAAATGGACCCACTCCTGGAAGAAAGAACGTTGCCACACAGCCATTATTAGCAAAGCCGTTCTTGTCATGGAGGGAATTCAGCTATGAGAATGCTTGCTAATGGGACTACCAGGGGAGTTCAAGGCAGGGAAGCTCTTCAAGTGTAGAGAGAAAAGGTATTTCCAGAGTCTGGGGCACATCTAGCTGTCAAAATGAGGTGCTATGTGGACAGAGGCAAAAAAATTGGGAGGCAGTCTGGACAAGGATGAAAGCACTAATGGGAGAAGCTGGGAATGTCACTAGAGTCAGAAAGAGAGTGAGACTGCAGGAAGCTAAAGAAGAGGACATCCTGAATATCTCTTAGCATTTCCCCCAATTCTGTAAGTATCTCCTTTAATTTAAAAGCCTAAGGCAGAATGGTTATTTGGATTACTGAAACCAATAAACCAGCCAAGGCTTAATATGTGACTGGTACCATAATGATCACTTTTATATAGAGGAGGAAAAGTTTATTGGGGGCTCATGGTTTCAAAGGTCTCAGTCCACAGATGGTCGACTCTACTGCCCTGGGTCAGAGATGAGGCAGAACATCAGGGGGTAAGGTCCCAGTGAAAGAAAACTACTCAGCTCATGGTGAGGGAAGGAATCAGAGAAAAAGAGGAGAAAAGGGGCTACAGGGAAGATTGCCCTTCTAGGGCACGCCCCCAGCAACCTGCCTCCTCCAGCCATGCCTACCTGCTTACGGTTACCACCCAGTCAGTCCATTCAAATAGAATGGACTGATTAGGTTACAGCTCTCATAACTGAATCATTTCACCTCTGAACATTCCTGCATTAGCACAGTTCGGGGGGGGGGCACCTCATATCCAACCATAACCCTACTAGGTTTTACTACTAGTATTACATAAAATCATTGTGCATGCTAGGCAAGTGCTCTGCAACTGAGCTGCATCCCCAGCCCTACGTGAAATCCTCAGACATGCTTTTGCTATCTTTTAGGACTCCACTAATGGATAATTGGTATTCTTTATCATATCTGTACTTCAGCACTCTTGGAACTTTGATAACGATAATTGTGGGGATGCTTATCAGTTTATCAACAGGTAATTATCTTAACATTAGTATTCGTGTATTTGCCTGTGTATCAGTTTTTCCTGTATCTGTGTTATAACTGTTAATGTTATCTTATTGTGATCTTGCTAACAACTAGTTTAATTATTTCTTCCGTTTTACTCATGGGAAATTTGAGAGCCCAGACTTGAAATCGAAAGACTATTTCTGTTTGAATTTTGAATCTTTCACTTAGTAGCTGCATGAACCTAGGCAAGTCACATAACTACCTTGAAACTTAGCTTTCTTCTGTACAAAATGAGGATAATAGTTAACCAGGCTACTTCACAGATTGCTATGAGAGAAAACTAAAGTGTTTGAAGAAAACTATATAGTAGCTACTACAAAGATAAGGATTCTGTATTTTTAAAGCAACCCTATGCCAGAATTTTTTCATTGTCCCATACCAGTTCTTTGTAAGCTGTAAAAAGGTATAAACATGAAGGAATAATAATTATAATCTTTATGCCTCAGCATAGTATAAAAGCTTCCAAAAAATGTTCATAGACTTTAAAAACTACATATGTTTTTTTTTTTTTTAAAAATCCAACTGATAATACACAGAGTATAAATTGCTATGGAGCTTTTATCCTGGAAATTTATTTTGTCTTCATTGTGTGAATTCTCTTGGCTTCCCTCCTATGTTGGGTTCACTGGTGCTTATATCCCACTAGTTCTAATTCTTATTTACTTCCTTAATTGAATAAGCACAATAGAAGAGGTTTTGGAAACTTTGAATGTCTGAAAAAAAATACTAAATTGAAAATAACTCACCTGTGTTCTGAAAGGAAGTCTTAATTTTCTTATAGGTGACTGCTCTTCTGTGGCTTGCCATTGCCTCACTACTTTTGACCCTTTGCCTGTGACCCATTTTCCTAATTATTGACTTGCCCTCAGCCCTCAGCAGGGCCCTTTTAATCTGAAGACCCATGTCCTTCAATTTGGGGTATTTTCTTGTCTTATTTCTTTTGTAATTTCTTGCCATTTTCTGTTTTCTCTTTCTGGAAACTCCTGTTAGTCAAATGTTTGAGATGGACAGTTCCTCTTCTTTTCTTGTCTTTTCTCTCCAATTTTCTATCTCTGTGTCTTTTAGGTCTACTGTGTGGAATTTTTTCAATTAATTTTCCAGTAATTCTCAAAGGTACACTTGTTCCAGTTTTGAGAATAGTCTGTGGGGAATGAGGCAGGCAGGAGGCTATTGCAGTAATCCAGGTGAGACAACACAGTGACTCTGGCTGGGGTGGTAGTTGGAAAGGGATGGGCTCCTTAATTCCCCGCATCCCCTTCCACATATACATCCTGAGCACCCAAATTAGGGGAAGCCTGCACTGCCTTATTTATCAAGGTGTTATAAATACTCTGAAATATTATACCCTGTCCAGATCTGTCTGATGTCTTGCTTTATGCTACAAAGCTGCCAATGCTGTGCCACTTTTGAAAACATACTATCAACTGTTATTTTTTGACACCTGGATAGCACTGTCTTTCAAACTTCTGTGACATTGTATTAATTATAAAGTTTCTTACTTCTTGTTACTCCTTGATTATTTTAAAGTATTCTATTTCTTTTCCCAAAGTATTGTGCTTTTTCTAAGTAAAAACCACTAGCACAGTAGGTTTATTCCTTACCTCTTTTGATATTTATTAAGACATATTTTAAACTTTTCTTACTAATTACCGTTATTCACACCTGGAATAAACATATCTCTCTTCTTATACTACTTGACCTTGAACTTTAGTCTACCCTCACTTTTAAAAAAGGAAATGGAATATCAGAGTACTCCCTTTGAATATTCCCTCCCCACCTTAAATACATTGATTCTGTACACAGAATCTCTCCTCACCTTAAACACATTGATAACTGTACACAGGTATGTATTTTATTTTAAAAACTAATACTTTATCCAGGTGAGCAGACATCCAATAATAAAAAAATACCTTCATTAATTTCATAAATGACTTATTCCTACTCAACACCAGCAGAGAGCACCTTGGAAAAACCTGGGAACATATAATTCTAAAGTTCCTTAGGAAATATATTTTAAAACATACTGTTCATCAGTTAAATGTGGACAAATATTTTTGTAAATAGCCCACGAACCCTGAAGGCAGTGATTGTCTTACTCATCTCTGTCTCTGCAGCAGCTAGTAGAGTCTTATCACGTAGTAGGTACTCAGTAATGTTGAATGGGTGAATTTAAAGCTCATCTTATCTCCAAAAATACAGATTCTCATAATTAAAAGTCTAGTACTTATACCAAAGTGGTGATACGTACACTTTAAAGGGCATAAAAATTATCTTGGAAACTTGGCAGAAATCAGGATTCAGTGGCCCTGGCAACAGGGGGTTCTAATTTGGTCAGTCCAGACTGGAATCTGGAAATCTGCATACTAAGCAGATCTACTAGATGATTTGGATAGAGATTATTTGAGAACCATAGACAGTTTTTAAATGCATCCTCTTGAGCCATAAATAAAGTGCCAAATAAAGAATTATTTTTCATGAAGCAAAACCTTAGGGAAGAGGATTTAAATCAAACATCAGTAATTATATCAATTTTCAGTTAATTATTCAGCAGTTCATAATTTCCTGATTTCTTTTTTTTAAAAAAAATATTTTTGTAGTTGTCAGTGGACTTTTATTTATTGATACTTGGTGCTGAGAATCGAATGCAGTGCCTCACACATGCTAGGCAAGCGCTCTGCCACTGAGCCACAACCCCAGTCTGTTCCTGCATTTCTTCTCACACGTCAGTATTTGCAGCCATAAAATTGGGGAAAGGCAGCTCTGCTAGCTCAAGCAGAGTCAGATGGTTTGATATTTTATTGGTGGATCAGGAAGGATACTTTTAAGCCAGTTTTTCTGTCAGAATAGGAGCAGATGACTCTCTTGTTGAGCACTAGCCGAAGCAGTTGCCTTGATTTTAAGAGCTAGTTATAATTTTTTTTTCTCCCTCTTTTCCTCCCTCTCTCTTACCCTCTCACCTTACAAGGCTCATATTTATCACAGTGAGACACTGAAGGGGAACGGTGGGCTGAATCTTCAGCATGGTTTGAAAGTTTCTTTTTCTCTTCATGTTTTTTATGAGTTCACAGAGTTGAATGTATATAAATTAAATGCCTGTATGATGGGATGTCAACGTGTAGTTAAAGGAATCATTTTAGCAATGTAATCATGTTTTTTGTTTTCCTTCCAGGGGGAAGAAAACAGAACTTAGACCCCAGATTCTTACTAACCAAACAGGACTTTTTATCCAATTTTGATATTTTTAAAAAAGTAAGTTGACTTTCATTTACCTTAAATTAGAAAACTGGGCTTTATCCCCTGAATAGAACACTAGTCCTCAGCCTCTTTTTTTTTTTTTTTTTTTTTTTAACAGAAATGGACAGGGAAGGTATTTATCTTATCCTCTGACAATGATCTGTGTGTCTGTGTCATTCTGTCATCTGCTGGTTTATATCCGTTGTACATCTCTCCCTCGGTAGATTACAAAGCTGGTTTACAGAAATAGAAACTGTAATAACAATGATTTGTCATTGAACAAATGAAGTTTCTTGTTTTTCCTAATCACCATGTTGAAATTTTCTTTTAGAAGCAGCATGATATAAGCTATAAATCTCATCCAGTGGAGGATCTTGGAACTGATAATCCTGCCTTCAACCATATTGAGTTGAACTTCACAGATCAGCGGGGCAAGGTCAATGGGACTCGCTTGTGAAACACCTCCAAAGCAAGACGATTTGAAATGATGCCTCAATTCTATGTTTTCTAGGATATTTAGATCAGATTTAGATCTATCTGTCTTTCTTTTGTCTGTCATGTTATGGGGCAATGCATTTTTGTTAAAGAGAAGTCCTAACTTTCTTCTCTTTCTATACTGATTCATTGATGCTACTCTGGAGTCAAGAGTTTCAGCATCAGCATTTCTCACTTTTATTTCAATGAAGATACGGTCGTGAAAGTTATGACTACATATAGGCTGGAAGGCTAATACACACATGTATCTGTGTTACTTGTTGGCCAAAGGCATGTTTTTTTGGGCATTATTGAAAATATTTTCCGTGCCTTTAGTGCTAGCATGTAAGCTTTGGATTCACTGAAGTCGTAATTAATATTGAAAAGAACTATTCTCCCTTCTACCACTCTATTTGTAGAGAGCAATGAAGTGATAAATCTGTCTTGTTTAAATCTTTGCTTTTTATCCTGGTTCAGCCCAGAACTCATAGTAGCTTTGGAACTGATTTTGGCTCAGGAAGGTGATCAAGAAGTGACTTGTCTGAGACAGAACAGGGACCCAGTGATCAAGGTCTTCTTGCATCTATTCTTGTGCCTTTGGGTTTATTTCTGAGATTCCTGGCCTTTGGCTACTTCTCTCTATTGCTTTTCTTAAACTATAGCTCTTGGATTCTGAACCTCTGACTGTGATTTTGTTGGTGGCGTCACTGGTGCCTGCCTTCCTGGATTCCTGTTGGCTCTATTGTCCTGGGCTTGGACATATCTTGAGACACCTAACATGAATTATGCCACCCCAGCCCCCAGTTCACAAAGTCCTAGCCTATAAATTATAAACCCCCATGAGCCTGGTACTGACTAAAGTACTTTTGACATAGGTACTTTGGGATTTGATAATCTGAGAATGTTATATTTTAAAAAATGATTAAATTATGTGGAGTTAGATAATTACACTTCAGGCTATTAAGTTTTGAATTTTTGAGTATCAACTAATTTGCAGTCAATTAAATTGATCAAAGGCACATATGCTTAGAAATCTCAAAATTCTAGTGTATAGTTAAAAAGCTAAATTATAGATAACTATGACTATATTTCTAAGCTATGAATCTCATCCATCTAGTTCTAGATTTACCATATGTCATTTGCTTTATGTTTTAAAATTTCAAGTTTCAAATTTGCTTAGCTGTTTATTTTGCTATGTCTTGTTACATGATTTCATCAATAACTTACTTTTTTCTACATTACCCATATTAGATACTGTTTAAGAGTTTAATGTTTTCTTCAATTTTTTACAAAAAATGACAGAAATACTTAGATAAATACAAATGTTTTTTTAATTCAATAATTTCATGATTATTTTCTGATCTATCTTGTTTAGGAAGCCATGTCCTGTAAATTTAGGGTTGCTAGCTGACATTAAAATATGTGTAAAATAGGAAGTTTTTCATTTATCTAAAATAAAGAGGTTCATATCACATTTAAATTAACTATACATTTATAAATCTCTTATGTATTTAGATACTATTTTTTAATTCCTGTATTTGAAAGCTAACATCAAGCTTTGTGAATCTATAATGTTTTAAGGAGTAAGAAGACTTGATCTTGTTTGTTTCATGCTACTTTGATGGTTATTTAAGAATTTTAAATGCATATGTATGTAGCATGCTTCAGTTTTGGAAATCAAAATCGGATTATATAAGTGACTTTTTCTTTTCTCTGACTGTGAAGGGGTTATGCAATATATTCTTAATAAGAAATATAATACATCCATTCTTGTCCACTTTCCTTATGGCAAAATATATCTTTGTGACATTTGGAAATTTCACTTTTACTTTCACAAACACATAAGAGTGCCAGATAAAATTCTGAAGACAATAAAGTGATATTATGAATTTAAAATAATTTATCTTAATTTCTAAATTTTAGAATAGAACCATAAAGGGGGAAATGTTAATATATTGTGATATAAAGTAAGTAGTGTTTTACTGTTAGTTATTTTGAGTCACAAACCTTAATGGGAGGAAAAGCCACATGGGTTGTCTGTCAATATATGTTGCTGCTGTCAAGTTGCATATCTTTGAATTTATACTTCACCCCCTCAAATGATGGTACATAGCATTAAACTTCTGCCTACCTCACAGAAATAATGTGAGTGTAAAAGATCTGCTGGATCTCTTTGGCAGAATAGCACTTTTATTAATTCAAATAGTTACTTGATATTTTAATATTTGGGGGCATGAAATTTGAGACTAGAGTCATTTGCCAGTTTTTTTTAAATTGCACTGCTAATAATTTGCATTATCATGATGTAGACACAGGGCCTTCTTTAAAAAAATGTGTACCAGAGGAATATTAAAAAATATTTAGGAATCAGCAGGATTATTCCAATAGATAGGACAATGTAGATCAGTCCTATTCACTCTGCAGAGAAATGGAAATTATACAGGTAAAATGTGAAACAGCATAAATTCATATTCATCTGTTTAGTTGCTTATGCAATCATTTTCTTTCTGTGCCAGTAGCTCTCAACCAGGGCCATTTGGAAATATCTGGAGACATTTTTTTGTTGGCCACATGGAGGAAGAGATGCCACTGGTATCTAGTAGGTGGAATTCAGGGATATTGTAAGCATCCTAGGAACTAGGGTGGCTTCTCTCCCTTCAACCAAAACTCACTGAGCCCAAGATGTCCATAGTGTGTGGTTTGAGAAACCCCACCATGGAGGCTGACATTGGCTTTTCTGAAGTCCCAGTCTGGTTGTGCTGCTTCAGAAATGTGGCCTGACATTTCTATCTGAACGTTCTCCTCCACAGGTAAAGTTGAAAATACCACTAGCATGTGGTATTTTGTTATAATGCAGAATAATGACCTCATATTTTCACAGCATTTAAAAAATTAAGGACTATAGTATTGTGAATAGCTATTTAAACCAGTCATATAACAGTTTAGCTCCTCTCCATGGTTTCTCAAATTTTGACAAGCATCAAGATGAAGGAAATATTGAATGTATGAATATAAGAATTTCATTATTTTATTTTATTTATGAAAACCACAGAAAACATAGTTTGTTCCTTTTCTTTAAAAAAACTGAGTATTCATAATATAGATACATGGGATAGGGTGGGGTTGATATGGGTTGAGTAACTCTGAATTGATTGTTAAGGGAAATTCTGAGTTTTCCCATAAAGATTATTGATAAAGAACCAATTGAGAGTCTGGGGCTGTAACTCAGAGGTATAGGGCATGTGTAGCATATGTGACGCCCAGGGTTTGATCCCCAGCAAAAAGAAAAATGTCAGCTAAGTGCATTATCATTTAGTTACTGAAAATTCATGGTATGCTGTTAGATTTTGTACCTATTGCTTATGACAACCTTGAGAGAGTTGAATATTACACTGTATAACAGTTGAAAATCTGATTTTTCAGTTTGCTTTTTGAACTCTGCCAGATTGAATATAATTAATCTTATCAGCCTTTACAAAAAGATTTTTTTTCTACTCTATTTACCGCAAAAGGGCTTTTCCTAAATGCTGTATATAAATTATAAAAGTGTAAGCAAATAAACATGGAGGACTTTTGTCATTAAAGAATATTTTATATTTTAAATAATTAATGCTGTATTTGAAAATAAAAGTGCTGTTGGTTTGGGTATTCCTCAGAGAGGTCCATGATTGAAATTTTAATCTGCAAGGTGACCCTATTGGAAAGTAGTATGATATTTGGGAAGTGGGTCTTAGTGGTGATCCTTAGGTCATTGAGGATAGCCCTCAAAAGGGATAGTTAGATGCCACCTTTTACTGTCCTCTCATTCAAAATGTGACCATTTGCTCCTACATGTACTCCCACTATGATGTACTACCCTCACCAGAGGCCAAACTAATGGGACTACCCAAACTTGAACTTGAACCACCAAATCCAAACTGAGCTAGCTAACTCTTTTTATAAAGTTAATTACCTTGGGTGTTTCATGGTGATAATATGAAGTAGACTGATACAAGAAAGTACAAGATAAAGCACTAAAATAGTAACATTTTTTTCTGTTCCCATTCAGATTTTTAATTGGGGGTAATTTAAAAATGGATCCAAATAATTGTTGATGATATCAGGACTTTGCATTAGAAACAGAAACTCTTAATCTGAACATTTTTCTTCCTCTTGAAAAAAAATATTAACTTGAAGTTTCAAATTTACATTCTTTTAATCTCAAGATAAAATTTGTATTTGTGGGGTATAAAATCAAATGGAGAGCTAAGCTAATGATTCAGGTACCAAAGATGAGCTTGTTTCTTTCCAATCACCCAATTTGGAGACGTATAATAAAAGAAGCAATTGCCACATTTCCTCTTTGGCAAGAAATGTTCACTTCTCTAATGTGCCTATTGTTCATATAATTAAAAGTACGTATGAACCTGTAATAATCCCACCATTATGTATAATTGTAATGCACCAATAAAATAAAAAGAAATTAAAAAGACGAACTCAAAACAAAGTACCCATTTATTTCTTACCTATTCTATTCTTGATAGAGCAAAATGCAAATTCTCCATATGGAGGGAGTTCTACATGACATTTCACTGTAAGGGTCAGATCTCTATAATTCAAATTTATCAAAGAACAGAATGAATATTTTGGAAACTGCCTCAAACTTTCCTAATCATTCCCAGTTGTAATCACTTATTTTTATTCATTTCCTGATTGTAAAGGCTATCTTACTAAACTCTTACCCTTGTTAAAGCCAAATCACCACCGGGCATTGGATTTTGTATTAGCTACAATTTACTGCTAGAGCTCCACATCCATTTCTGTATGTTAGTATCGGGGTTCAGAGTTCTCCTCATTCAGTTCTACTTTCCTTGGCTCTCTAATTCAGGGGCCTTATTCTCTTCTGGACAACGATATGGTCTGACATTATTTTTTTCTCATTATATTCTAGAACTTCTCAAACTTTCGAATACATCAGACTTACCTGGAGGAATTGGTTAAAACACAGATTTCTGGGCTCCCCTCCCAGAGTTTCTGATTTAGTAGCTCTGGCATGGGACTCAAGATCATCTCTCATTCTTTCCCCAAGGATGATGTGGTCTTGGAACCACATGTTAAAAAACCACGGTTTCACTTCATAGTTGTCTCTTTGAAAATTAAATCTGATGATTTACACCTCTGCTCAGAAATTTTTATCTCCTTATTGTCTAATAAATCCCACATCCTTTCACCTGATGGTCTTCTCAAGAATACATATTGTCACTCTTTTTTATGTTAATAGGCCTATTACATGGAGATTCCTGGGATTTGCTAAATATATAACCCACTCTCTTGCCTTCTTACTACTTTGCCTGATATCCCTTTTATTTAGACTGCCCATCTTCTGTTCATATCTCAGATCTTTGAAAACATCTGCTCAATTGTTAGAACCTAGCTTATGTACCACTACCCTTACTTCCTTTTTTTGTGGGTGATTTATCTTAGCTCCATTTAGCCATTTTGATGTGCCTCACATTTATAAATATGAACAACTACCTCTTCAGTGTTTCATAATATCCATTCCTGATGCTTCTGTCTATGTGGAGGGACCATCCAGTAGAGTCACAGTCCTTTGTCCCTTTATTCCTTTATTCTTCATGGAAACAAAGAGGGACTCTTGTGTCCAGTAAATTTGAGAGAGGAATTTGACATGGGACTAAAGGATTAAAATTAATCTTTCCCACTTTGAGGTCCGCCTGGTTGAAGAATGTACACTGTATCTACTACTCCAGTCCAGCTATACTGACCTTTTTAATTCCTTGAATTCAAGAAAACACACCCCTACTTTTTAGAAAGCTCTCCCTGATATCCACCTGGCTCCCGCTATGGACTTCCTGGTCTTTACTAAGATGTCACCTTCTAGGTGAGGTATTCTCTGAGCTGTGTTTAAAATATTGATTTCCCTTACCACCGACATCTCAGAAATGCAGTTGCTCATTAAGGACTATTTTGCAAACTTATGCTCCAATAAATTGAAAAATCTAGAAGATATGGATACATGTATAGAAGAGTACAATCTGCCAAAACTGAATCAAGAGGACATAGAAAACCTAAACAGATCAGTAACTTGTAATGAGATACAAGAAGAAATAAAAAGGCTTCCAACAAAGAAAAGCCCAGGACCAGATGGATTTTCAGTTGAATTCTACCAAACCTGTAAAGAAGAACTAAGTACTCCTCAAATTATTCGATGAAATAGAACACTTCCAAATTCATTCCCTAAAGCTAGTATCACACTCATACCAAAACCAGATAAAGACACATCAAGGAAAGAAAACTATAGACCAATATCCCTGATACAAAAATACTTAGTAAAATATTAGTAAATTATATTCAACAACATATTAAGAAGATTGTATACACCATGACTAAGTTGGTTTTATTACAGAGATGCAAGAATGGTTTAATATCTGCACATAAATAAATGTAATTTATTACATAAACAGAATTAAGGACAAAAATCACTCATCTCAATAGATGCATAGAAGGCTTTCAACAAGATTCAGCACCCATTCATGATAAAAACACTGAATAAACTAGGCACAGAAAGAACATACCTCAACATCATAAGAGCTACATGTGAGAGAAACAAAGCCAACCTCAGAGAAAATGGGAAAAAGCTGAAAGAATTTTCTTTAAAATCTGGAACAAGACAAGGATGTCCACTCTCATCACTCCTATTTAATATAGTGCTAGAAATTCTAGCCAGAGCAATTAGGCCAGAGAAGGAAATAAAAGGGATTAAAATAGGAAAGGAAGAAGTCAAATTATCAACCTTTGCAGATGATAAGATTCTATACCTAGAAGATCAAAAAACTTCATCAAAAGACTGCTAGAGCTAATAAATTTAGCAAAGTAACAGGTTACAAAATCAACATACAAAAATCAATAGCTACTCTATATACCAACAATGAATCTCCTGAGAAAGAAATTAGGAAAACAATTCCATATTTCCATTCACAGTAGCAAAAAAACAAAATAAAACAACAACAACTTCAACAAAAATAGGAAGAAATCTAACCAAGGAGGTGAAAGACCTCTACAATGAAAACTGTTTGAATGTTGAAGAAATAAAGAGGACCTCAGAAGATGGAAATATCTCCCATGTTCATGAATAGGTAGAATTAATATTGTTAAAATGGCCATACTTCCAAAAGCAACACACAGATCTGAGGCAATCCCCATCAAAATACCAATGACATTCTTCACAGAACTAGAAAAGACAGTTCTAAAATTAATTTAGAAGAATATAAGACCCAGAATAGCCAAAGCAATTTTAAGCCCCCAAAAAACAATGTTGGAGGTAGCATTTGTCTGACTTCAAATTATACTACAGAGTTATAGTAGCAAAAACTTTAAGGCACTGGCATGAAAACAGGCACATAGACCAATGGTTCAGAATAGAAGACATAGAGACTAACCCACACATCTACAATCATCTGATCCTTGATAAAGGTGCTAAAAACATGCCTTGGAGAAAAGATAGTCTTTTTAATAAACGATGCTGGGAAAACTGGTTATTAATATGTAGAAGAATGAAACTAGACCTTTATCTCTCACCCTGTACAAAAATCAATTCAAAGTGCATCAAAGACCCTAGAGTTACATTAGAAACTATGCAGCTTCTACAAGAAAATGTAGGGTCAACACTTGAACTTTTAGGCCTAGGCAACAAAATTTCAGGAAATAATGCCAAGAGTTAATACACAGAACAGTGTCAAAGTGAAAAGCTTCTGCTCTGCAAAGGAAACATTTAGAAATGTACAGAGAGAACCCACAGAATGAAAGAAAATCTTTGCTTGCTACTCTTCAGACAGAATTAATATCTAGAATATGTAATAAAATAACCCCATTATAAATGGAAAAATGAATTAAACAGACACTTCTAAAAAGAAGAAATATGAACGACCAACAAATACATGAAAATATGTTCAACATCATTAGCAATTAGAGAAATGCAAATCAAAACTAAAATGAGATTTCATCTCACACCAGTCAGAATGGCAGTCATCAGAAATACAAATAATAATCTGGGTGTGGTGGCACATGCCTGTAATCCCAGTGACTTGGGAGGCTGAGATAGAAGGATCATGAGTTCAAAGCCAGCCTCAGCCATTTAGTGAGGCCCTAAGCAACTTAGCAAGACCCTGTCTTAAAATAACAAATAAAAAGGGCTGGGGATGTGGCTAAGTGGTTAAGTGTACTTAGGTTCATTCCCCTGTTCAAATAATAATAATAATAATTATTATAATTATTATAATTATTATTATTATTATTATTATTATTATTATTATTACTGGAGCGGATGTGGAGAAAAAGGAACAATTTTACACTGTTGGTGGGACTGTAAATTAGTGCATCCACTATGAAAATCAGTATGGAGATCCTCAAAAAACTAGGCATGGGGCCACCATATGACCCAGGTATACCACTCCTTGGTGTTACTTTCCGGTGTCCCCCCCCCACTCCTCTGTCTCTCTCTCTCTTCCATTCTAACTTGGTGAGGTGGGTAGTATCTCATGGTAGTTTTGTGTGGCATTTACCTGATGGCTAATGTGTTGAGCATCTTTTCCATGTATTTATTGGCCATTTGTATTTCTACTTTTGAGAAGTGTGTTCAAATTATTTGCTCATTTTTAATTGCATTACTTGTCTTTTTTGTTGTTGCTGTTGTTGTTAAGTGTTTCATTTCTTTATATATTCTGGATATTAATCCTCTGTCAGATGACTAGTTGGCAAACATTTTCTCCCATCCTGTAGATTGCCTCTTCACTCTGTGGATGATTTCCTTTGAAGAAGTTTTTAAAATTTGATGTTAATTCATTTTGCTTTTGTTTCCTGTGCTTTTGGGGTCTTTATCCATAGAAGTGTTGCTGATCCCTATCTTTTGAAGTGTTCTCTCTATGCTTCCCTATAGAAGTTTTAGAGTTACATTAAATCCAGTTACATCTGATCCAGTTTGAGTTTATTTTTGTACAGGGTGAGAGATAGGGATCAAATTTCATTCTCTGCATGAAGGTTATCTAGTTTTTTCCAGCACCATTTGTTAAAGAGACTCTTTTTTCCAATTTGTGTTTTTGACAGTGTTTTCAAGAATCAGTTGGTTGTGGTTATATGATTTTATTTATGGGTTCTCTATTCTGTTCCATTAGTGTTAATGTCCATTTTTATGTGAATACTGTGCTGTTTTGTTACTGTGGCTTTGTCGTATGTCTTGAAATTGTGACACTCTCAGTTTTGCTCTTTTTGCTCAAGATTGTTTGGCCACTCAGGATTTTTTGTGCTTCTATATGAATTTTAGGATTGATTTTTTTCCTAGTTCTATTGGGATTTACATTTTCACATGCTATCACAGTGGTAGTTGTCTTTCCTATACAACTGAGTGTAAAACTCCTTTTTGGGTCTTTTGTATGCCTGGTCATGAATTTCCT